ATATGGTAGCCCCCGACAAGATTTTACTGATGGTGGAGTCAACACTTCAAACACGAATGGTGGGTGCACGGGAAGTAGTTCATTTTTAGCGCATTTTGCAAATAGATAGCTTTTAATCTCACTTTGGCTGGCTGCCTGGCTGGCAGTAAATGCGAGCCCGTAGACGAACGCTTGTAAAAAGACGAGGAGTGTACATGTACATATCGGGGCCGTGTAATTAACAACTTTAAGGACGGGGTTACAAGATGTGGAGTCGGCGACATCTGGGCGCCATCCCCGAGCGTGTTATAATAATCTGGAGATTTTTCAGTTTTTTTCTTTCTTCTTCTACAGATTTTCTCCGATTGTTTTCAAATAGGTGTCGTCGGAAAGATCTTGTCAACGCGCACAACTCCTGCGTGGCGGAATTTTGATTTTTTTGGCGAAATGAACCTTTTACAAGGCGCGCTTCGAGGGGTAGTCGACTTTAAGCGCCCAAAAGTTTTTTAGAGCTCGAATCGCGATCCCTCTTACTCGTGTCGCCAATAGAAGCTCGAGCTATGAGGAGTACCCAAAAATTGAGTATTATTTTATGGCGGGTTTTTAACGAAATTCACCAAAATGCGAATTGCGAGCGAACGGAGCGTCGGAAATATGGTAACCCCCGACGAGATCTTACTGATGGTGGCAGGTGGAGTGAAAACTTCAAACGCGAATTGCGGGTCAATGGAACGTCGGAAGTGGACACTGACAAAGGGATGTAGCCCCAGACATCAAGATCCTAACTGATGGTCAACACTTCAAACACGAATTGCGGAGGACCGCGACATCGGAAGTGGGTACCGACAAAGTGAATGTGGTAGCCTTCGACATCTTATTGATGGTGGAGTCAATACCGGGTAATAAAACACTGATCTGCCACACAAAAATGCGCTGAATTCCCTTCGATCTCACACGAGGACTTTGATAATTTTTTCTCTGGATGTTTGTTAAGGAAGTTGGAACGTAGGGTTGTATCAGCTGAAATTTTGTAGTTTGGTAGTAGAGGGGGGGGGGGGCGTCCGCCGCCGGCGCGATTTTTTCTCCAAAAAAAATTCGAAAAATTGTCAAATGTTGTGGAACGTGCGCGGACAATTCGCGCCCGGACAATTCGCACTCGGATAATTCGCACCGGAATAATTCGCACCCGGACATTTCGCTCCCAGGATATTTCGCACCCTGGACATTTCGCTCCCGGATTATTCGCTCCTGGATAATTCGCACCCGGACTATTCGCACTCGAAAAATTCGCTCCCGAATAATTCACACCCTATCCGGGTGTTCTGTAAATCTTTAAAATTAAATTTGGTTAAGTAATTAAGATAATATTATAATTAGGTAAAGGTAAATTTGAAAAGACCCCGATAAAACAAATTGCACTTCATAAAGAAATAATAAGAGAAATATCGTAATGACTTCCTTTCTATTATTTCTGGAAGATGAATAGGGTTTATTACAAGGTAAAAGTAATTAAGTCCGAAAAATCAGGTTTAAGTACGCATGACCACAACTAATTAGAACTTTAACGCCTGTATGGTATCTTCATTCTTGAACGTTTGACAGAGTGGTATTTTAAAGTTTATCTGAGCCCGGGTTTTGATTTTGTGTATACTTTTTTTTTTATTTTAAAAAATTTTATTTCTGGTGGTAGTGTTGTGGTGGTGTTCAGAAAAGGTAAGTTTCCTGTTTTCTTAGAACCAATTTTACGTTTCTTTGACCACATATTTTGTTGATTATTGGTGACTGAGTAAAATTACACTAACTGCTTATTTTTTTGCGTTATCTTTGCTACAACTATGGTAGTGAATGAACTTAAAAGTTTCTTTTTGATTTTCTTACTCTTATTTATTTTATAGTTTGAAGAGATACATGGAAAAATTCTGGCAATTTTTTAAGAGATTGTTAATAATCAAAACAGTAAAGCTTTTAAAAATCTTGAAACGTTTTAGGAACAGGTCGATATTGATAATTTTTTCTTTTAAATGTTTGTAATTATTAAGTACCTACATACTTCCTTTTTATTTTTTGTATGGCATACCTAGTACTAAATCAAAACCCTTAGCATTGGTAATTGCGGAACAAGGAAGATAGGACATCATTGGAAAGGCTTTCCTTCTCTGAATTTGGTGAGACTATAATTTTTTAGATTTGATATTTTCGAAATATTTTAAAAGTAAGTTGAGGGCGCGCTGTTGTTTATGTCATTTGAAGGATTTCGGGCCGATCACTATGTAATAGAAGCTAATGCGATCGTGCGTCAAAATTATGCAGTTGCAAGTGGTAGAAAAAAGAGAAATCTTGCACCTGCAACGTCGAATGCGCTGGAAATGAAACAACTAAACCAAAAAAAATACATATCCGAATTCAGAGATGGGCGACCTTACCAACGATGCATAATTTAAGATTTTAAGGGTTGCACTGTCAACGATGCGAGACATAGACATTAGTGAGCAAGTTTTATTTTAGACACTGTTTCCTTCCATGATCAATTTGATGTGCCGAAGCGGTTTTTGAAAATTATTTTAATTTACACAATTTACGTATATTATTTAGCTTCAGAGAAATAACACCAAAATCTCCCCATAAAAATTGTTATAATAATAAATGGGTAGATTTTGGTGTTATTTCTCCGAAGCTTCTTAAGCACCCCATTGAGAGTCATGGATCTTCACAATTTCAGTATATTATTTAAATAATAGCCATATAATTTATAGCAAGATCAATTTTTTTCACGATATTTATCAACATTTTTTGCTTTTTTCGTTACTTTACAGTTCTTATCCCTTTAATTTTACGGAAACTCTCAAGAATCTATTTGTTTTACGTTCAAATATGATTATAATTTACTTGAGATTCTTTTAAGACAATACATACGTATTTTGTATGTGTCCTTTAAATGGACGACATCGAAGGTTAGAGAACTAGGAAACTTAACTTGCAGCTACTAACAAATAATAATTGTTAAAATTTTATTTAGACTTTTATATTGCTATTGCAATATTATTTGTACGTGCTAAATGGTTTCCAAATGGAAAAAACCTTGATTGTCAATTGGTACAATAAAACTGGGTAAATAGGTTTAAGAAATGTCAGGTGACAGTTTTGCTGATAGACCGATACCAGCGTTTAGCAGCATCCCTCTACTTGTGAACATGAGTGCATGGACAATTTACATCACGGATGAGTGTCTTTTTACCTTTTTTTTTGTTTTTTTTTAAATAAATTTTCATTCATGGTACCTTTAGCACGTGTTCTCATGTTTAATACGGAGATTACAATAAAATAAGTACTAAATTCCAGATTTTGAGTGATATGGATGCTATTAAAGTGACCTAAAATCTCTACTGCTTTGATATGGTCCATTCCATTTAAAAAGGTACATAGGATTGTACGTATGAATTCTTGCCTCATAAATACTATTAAAAAAATTATTCCTCTACAAATTGTATGCCTATTGTTTAACCGACATAAATATTTAAGTGCCACATTTAAATGCCAAAATCAAGGAAAATCAAATCTCAAAAATGAACTTGTCCCTGAGGCTAAAAGTTGAAATTTGATTTATTACAAAAAGTTGATAATGGATATGAGATTTAGGCGGTGCAAACTATACGGGGCGCGTAACAATGGAGTTCGGTACAACGAAAAGTGGAAAGAGATACATAATCTATGAAGGATACATGTACCTCTTTGCTAAGAACCTTAAACTCCAAAACTGCTCATCATGGCTGTGTCGAGCGAGAAGAGCAAAGAAGGATCCATCGGCTCTTAGTTTAACATGCAATGCCAGGATCTGGGTCAACGATGACAAGGTAAGATTAGCTAAACCGAGCACTGATTTTGGAAGTGCAGATGGTTTCCAGTTTCAAAGCCCTTAATTGGGTATTTTATTAGTTAGGATATCGTCTTTTGACCTTTTGACTTTTTTATACGTAAGTTTCATCGTTGCTTATACCGTCGTCTAATGTTAGTTTTTAGGTTCGGCCCTCCCTTGCAAAAAATTAGTTTATCAATCTCTTCAAATTTCAATTTTACTCTGGAACAAACCACGGATATGGTCGTTGGCCTTTCCAGTTTTACTGCCCTTTTTAATTGTTTTCCATCTATTGTAAGTTTTATAGCTATAGTCTCTCCTCAATTATCTCTACCATCTTGTATATCACCTGAAAATGACCGTTGGTCGAAACATGTAGTGTATCACTTCGTTTTATTAAATTATATGGGAACGGTTTAGAGAACTTTTATTCAATATTAATAAATTATCCCATTTAGAGTTTGAACACAAAATGGACGTCACGATTCCAAATTATACCTTAATATTGAAAGTATCCAAATTTTAAATGTAGGTATACGTCTATTACATGCCCAAAGTAATAAACGTGATATTGGTGAGTAATATTGGAGATTTCAAGCTCCGAGTTAATTTAATACTTCACAGCCAGACGTTCTATGTTAAAAGTCAACCGTACACAAAATACCCTCTCAGGGGAGCGAAATTCTGGTGCGAATTATCCGGGTGCGAAATGTCCGGGTGCGAATTGTCCTGGCTACAACCGTTGAGGAGAAAATGTTTGCAAATACTTTCCAAATTTGGTATAAATTATGAGGTCTGAATTTAAAAAAAAAAACGCAAAATTTGATCGGGGGAACTATCTGAAGATTTTCTGATCCAAGGAAAGGCATAGCGAAGATCTTTATTATGTTGTGCGGATTTGAAAATAATAATTGCTAGGTGGCTGAGGGCAGGGGCGTGGGGGCACTCATTATTATAGTCCAAGACCCATGGTATCCATCAGGACCCGATTCTCCTCGCTGGTGTGTTTCGCTCTAAACGCTTTCGCCCTTGCGCACTTCCACCGTAGAAAATGCCAATTGCCAAGGCGTATTAAGGACGAAAGGTATAAGACGTAGATTGTCCAAACAATTTTATCTATAAATAAATAAATAAATCTATAATGTTTCCAACAACTTAATCGCGGTTTAGCCGTGAAGTTGATAGGTTATCGATATCGCGAAAAAGTAAAATTCGCTAAAAGTTCGTTTTACGTCAAATCAACAGTGCACTCTCCTACTTCTTTCGCATACGATCTGATCTAGAAAAACGGTGCGCTTTCGCAAATTTTGCGGGTTCGAAACGCGCAAGCGCGCCTTACTTAAGTAATGCTATATAAGCGTAACCTCTACGTTTATCTTTGCTGCGTGAAAATTCAACGTGTAAATAAAATGTGTGGAATTCCCTTTCAGTTCACTTTTATAAGGTGATAAGTGTACGTTAATCCGCTTGAATAACCGCAATGTTCTGATCTTCCATTTTTTATACCCACGTGTTTGCCGGCATCGCGCGCGGCCCCCCCTCTCGTCTCGCGTCCCGCTTCGTCAATCACGTGTGAAGGTAAATAATGCAAAATTCGCATATTTGCCCGTGATAATTTTAAAGTATTTCTCCAATATGCATCGATTGTGATTTTTAATTATAAGACTGAGCGCAAAAAAAATGTGTGCCGTTCGCAATTCGTCGGAGGACAGGAACCATAACGGGTACATAACTGTTTTTAACCCCACGACCGAGACCTACCACTTCGATCCTAGCAAATCTAAGGGTGAGTGACAGATTTTTAAAGGGTCGAGTTTCAAGGTGAAAATGTCAATTGAAATTTGAATACGCAACCAATCGCACGTAAGCGGACATCCGCGCGCGGTTCCGTTTCATGACAAAAAAAGCAAACAAGATGATATAATAACGAGATAATAATTAATGTACCTAAAGTGGGTATGACGCCCCGAGGTGAATCACTGCTTGGATTAGTTTTAAAATACGCGCGTCACTGGAATTAAAGGTACGTGAAAACCTGGAGGAATGCATCGTTTTCGTCGTCAAGGCTTCGGGCAATTTCACTTCTTTTGTTTTTTATCGTTCAATTTGCGGTCCGCGATAAGGAAAATTGGGCGGGCCAAGCGCAAAACTCGGCCCGAGGCTAGGAGAATTGGTTTTTTGGAGACGATTTGGGAACACCCCATAAAAAAGGGACAGTATTTCGGACAACCGCCGAATTTTCCGCCCGTAAAAAAAATGCGAAAATTTGTTTCGTCATTGGGCGTTCCCGTTTTGCCGCGCGTGGACTATTCCAGTCGGAAAAACGGGAAGAAAATCTGTGGCTCTTGTGGGGATGATCAGATATGTCCCAAAATTGATATTCACGTTTTACATGTTACCCTTAACATGTCACATGTACAATTTTAACCCCTTATTACAACCACGTAGTTGTGTAGGTGTGGGGGGTTGAACAAATTTCTTTTATAAGGTCAGAATTTTGTTGTCATCTCGTAAACGTGTGGAAAGTTTCACATTCTTACGAGAAAATATTTTTTGAGAAAAAAATACGTTATTATAATCGTTATGGCTGACTGGCTGTTCGGCTGCAATCTCAGCAATTACAGTAGTTAGAGACTTCAAATGTTCAGTAAAAGCCTTCTGCTATCGTGTAGATGTGCAGAATGTAGTATATTTTGAGTTAGATTTTTCGAGAGTTAGATAATTTTAAACTTTGCTAATAAAATACTGATCTGTATTACCAAAAATGTACTTTAATCATGCATATGCTGATTTACAACTTTAATTTATTTTTTATTTTTCCCAAGGGAAGAGTTTGAAGTATGCGCGGAAGCAATTTTTTTTCCATATAACCATAAATATATATTATTATGTAAAATTGGCATTACTTTCTCCACTTTTTATCTTGTGTACTACATGTACTATGTGGACATCGAAGACTTGAATCTATTGCTTGTAATTGAACCCTGACCTAACTCACCTATATGTATCTCTTTTTGTATACGAATAAAATTAAATTTTCCACCAAGGACAATGTGCCCCCCCCCCTCCCCCTGAAAAGTTTTTCTGGATCCGCCACTGGTAAACCCTTGCAGCAAAGTATGATCTTTGCTTGCAGGAAGTAGGGATCAACCGATAAGGCCGAGAATACGGCATTTTTGGCCGATATTGCTATGCCTAAAGGCCGATACCGATAAAATATTGGCGTATGGGCCATTTTCAAAAATTTATTTCTCTGTTATTTCTCACGACACGCTTTGCTTTGCGAATTTTCGTGTGCTAAACACCAGTCTTTAACGTAAATTTAATTATATGATTTATTTATTTACAATTCATTAACAATAAATTTATAACAATCTTGTATTAATTAATTGATAACATAACACGAGCACAATTTGATTTGCTTATATAACAAACACCAATATTTCTCGAAAGTTCCCGAACGCTCTCGAATCGTCTAGAATATTCTCGAACAAACACGTCATATTTCCCGGAAAGAACGTGTTTTGTTTCTTATCGGGGTTTCTAGAATATTCGCTAAATGCGAGTGCGTGGCCGTGAGACCTCTATCAACCCAAATGCATACACGTGCGTTACTACAGCACGGCTCCGGCATGCACAAGCAAAACGGCTACATAAACAGAACCGCTAATTAGGGGCTTTTTGGACGCTTACGCGCAGATGAGCGAAGTCGACCTATGAATTTGTACCGCCAGAGGGAAGTGGCGCATATTCAATTTAAATGCGTAAACGTGGAAATTGCCTCGATTAGTTTCGCCGAGAGGTAGATAGAAACAGGCCACTTTTTTCTTACAAACTGCGGAAATGTATAATTATGCTTAGTGGTTTCCAAGTAAAACCGACACGCTATGACTAACTTTGTTATTATTGGAGCTATAAATTAGCAAATATCTAGCGTTTTATTACGTTGTAAAATCAGGAAAATAACTGTCTGATCGAATGAAGGTTGTCGCACACTTGCCGTTGCGGACAGTTGTTCTAAAAGGAAGAAGTCCCTATTGGAGTGTATTGAAAAGGACAAGCTTACAGAATTTCATCATTTATTCGAAGACCTAAAGAAGGAGGAATAATATTTTGTTCAATATGTAACGTAAATTTAATTATTTCTACGTCTTCAAATGGATTAATTTATAACAGTCATACAATTCATCACTCACAATATATATCATAGCAAGAACGCATCGAAGTAGGAACTCAACTGTAACGCAATTCGATTTGCTTAGGTATATAGTAAAGTCGAATGTACCCCGAGCGGTTTTGCGCAAAAATAAAAATAGAAAACAAAAAAAAATTTCCGGTTTTTCTCAAAGAATTTGAAGTTACGTGAAAAAAGTGTCTCGGGATAAATAGGACCCCCTGTATATAAATTAATTGACATTCAGATATAGGATTACGGAATTGGTAGTCGCAACTTATAAAAGAAATGAGCTCTACACCCTAAATCATCTGGCTTATGCAGGTATAGTTAAACTCCAATAAATCATCGCCTGAAACTGATATCTTTTCTAGGCGAAAAGTATCGTATATAGCCCGCTATTTATTTTAGTACTGTTCCGAATTCCGTCGTTATACTCGGACAAAAACGGAAGTTTACCCATTATTAAATCAATAATTCTAATTTGTTTGCAATAGTCGATAATCATGGCTTCCTAGTATGTATGTATGTCGAGAGTCGATTCCTACTTTAAGAACGTTGCGAGACATTCCTTGAAGAAATTCTAAAGCTTTTATGGGTCCTTTAAGACTTCCCAAATACTTAAGTCATTTTTAAGAGTCTTTAAGGTACTAAATTTGAGTCTTAAGAAATGTTGAGAGATTTTAGTATTTGTGAGTATTCAACAGTTTCCACAACTTTGAGATGGACCTTAGAGGCCTAGACCTTTTGCGAGAGTCCTTAAAGGGATTGAAAAGCTTTTAATAATCGTTAATAGTTATTTGTGTACCAAGGCCGTAAAAGTGATCTTTTTTGGCCGAAGCTGCTGTTTGTGGCCGAGGCGGTAGCCGAGGCTGCAATTCAGATGAGGCCTAACAAATCACTTTTGGCCAAGGTGCACACAACATTTTTTAGGCGATCATCAAAAAAGAATTCAAAAATTTGCTCATAAACATATTTTTTCTGAAAATCATAGTTATCTTAGACAATTAAAAACAAAGCATTTCCTGTCATATGTAATAAATTATAATTAGCATCTTTGCGTGTGTTTTGTGCGTATCAAAATGGGTGATAGCGACAGTTCAGATACCCCAAATGAAATTTTGGAAGCTGCAAGCGTTGCGACCCTAAGTCATATATGATATAAGAGCAGGCGTTTGAGAGTAAAAGTACAATCGCAACTTCCTCCGTTGTACAAAATTTTAATAATGCAATAGGTCTTTCGTAACTGTGGCTTCCAAGACCTTATAGTTAACATGCTGTACAATTATTAGAAACCTGATTACCTACTTTGATGGTAGGTATAGGCAGCTACTTGTGTTCTCGGTTAATTGCTGGTGATTCTTCGTATAATAATGTAAGCAATAATGTAAGCAATAACATCTTCCTCATGTTTTGGTTCTACACTTCAAAAAGGTCTGCAAGCAGCAAAGATTGAAACGTCAAACTATCATTTTAAATGTGAACATTGTGATTATGCAAAATAGTGTGAAACATTCCTACAAGTCCGAAAATGGAAAAAACGCACGTGGATGGCCCAATCCTTGATGGGGCTAGACCAGATAGACGCTTTGTATCAAACAGATTACTGTTTCTCACACATCAGTTTCAAATAAGTAGGTACAGTTTGACAGATGTGTACAATAAAGTAAAGTTTGACAGAAGCGTACAATAAAGTTAAACTTTATGGCCGCAAAAGCGACTACAAAATCAACGTTTTTGTGATGATAGCCTAAAAANATTACCAAAAATGTACTTTAATCATGCATATGCTGATTTACAACTTTAATTTATTTTTTATTTTTCCCAAGGGAAGAGTTTGAAGTATGCGCGGAAGCAATTTTTTTTCCATATAACCATAAATATATATTATTATGTAAAATTGGCATTACTTTCTCCACTTTTTATCTTGTGTACTACATGTACTATGTGGACATCGAAGACTTGAATCTATTGCTTGTAATTGAACCCTGACCTAACTCACCTATATGTATCTCTTTTTGTATACGAATAAAATTAAATTTTCCACCAAGGACAATGTGCCCCCCCCCCTCCCCCTGAAAAGTTTTTCTGGATCCGCCACTGGTAAACCCTTGCAGCAAAGTATGATCTTTGCTTGCAGGAAGTAGGGATCAACCGATAAGGCCGAGAATACGGCATTTTTGGCCGATATTGCTATGCCTAAAGGCCGATACCGATAAAATATTGGCGTATGGGCCATTTTCAAAAATTTATTTCTCTGTTATTTCTCACGACACGCTTTGCTTTGCGAATTTTCGTGTGCTAAACACCAGTCTTTAACGTAAATTTAATTATATGATTTATTTATTTACAATTCATTAACAATAAATTTATAACAATCTTGTATTAATTAATTGATAACATAACACGAGCACAATTTGATTTGCTTATATAACAAACACCAATATTTCTCGAAAGTTCCCGAACGCTCTCGAATCGTCTAGAATATTCTCGAACAAACACGTCATATTTCCCGGAAAGAACGTGTTTTGTTTCTTATCGGGGTTTCTAGAATATTCGCTAAATGCGAGTGCGTGGCCGTGAGACCTCTATCAACCCAAATGCATACACGTGCGTTACTACAGCACGGCTCCGGCATGCACAAGCAAAACGGCTACATAAACAGAACCGCTAATTAGGGGCTTTTTGGACGCTTACGCGCAGATGAGCGAAGTCGACCTATGAATTTGTACCGCCAGAGGGAAGTGGCGCATATTCAATTTAAATTTCGTAAACGTGGAAATTGCCTCGATTAGTTTCGCCGAGAGGTAGATAGAAACAGGCCACTTTTTTCTTACAAACTGCGGAAATGTATAATTATGCTTAGTGGTTTCCAAGTAAAACCGACACGCTATGACTAACTTTGTTATTATTGGAGCTATAAATTAGCAAATATCTAGCGTTTTATTACGTTGTAAAATCAGGAAAATAACTGTCTGATCGAATGAAGGTTGTCGCACACTTGCCGTTGCGGACAGTTGTTCTAAAAGGAAGAAGTCCCTATTGGAGTGTATTGAAAAGGACAAGCTTACAGAATTTCATCATTTATTCGAAGACCTAAAGAAGGAGGAATAATATTTTGTTCAATATGTAACGTAAATTTAATTATTTCTACGTCTTCAAATGGATTAATTTATAACAGTCATACAATTCATCACTCACAATATATATCATAGCAAGAACGCATCGAAGTAGGAACTCAACTGTAACGCAATTCGATTTGCTTAGGTATATAGTAAAGTCGAATGTACCCCGAGCGGTTTTGCGCAAAAATAAAAATAGAAAACAAAAAAAAATTTCCGGTTTTTCTCAAAGAATTTGAAGTTACGTGAAAAAAGTGTCTCGGGATAAATAGGACCCCCTGTATATAAATTAATTGACATTCAGATATAGGATTACGGAATTGGTAGTCGCAACTTATAAAAGAAATGAGCTCTACACCCTAAATCATCTGGCTTATGCAGGTATAGTTAAACTCCAATAAATCATCGCCTGAAACTGATATCTTTTCTAGGCGAAAAGTATCGTATATAGCCCGCTATTTATTTTAGTACTGTTCCGAATTCCGTCGTTATACTCGGACAAAAACGGAAGTTTACCCATTATTAAATCAATAATTCTAATTTGTTTGCAATAGTCGATAATCATGGCTTCCTAGTATGTATGTATGTCGAGAGTCGATTCCTACTTTAAGAACGTTGCGAGACATTCCTTGAAGAAATTCTAAAGCTTTTATGGGTCCTTTAAGACTTCCCAAATACTTAAGTCATTTTTAAGAGTCTTTAAGGTACTAAATTTGAGTCTTAAGAAATGTTGAGAGATTTTAGTATTTGTGAGTATTCAACAGTTTCCACAACTTTGAGATGGACCTTAGAGGCCTAGACCTTTTGCGAGAGTCCTTAAAGGGATTGAAAAGCTTTTAATAATCGTTAATAGTTATTTGGGGTCAACGAAATAAGAAACAAAATAAAAGCATTAAGTTATAAAAGCGTTCAACTTATCTGAACTATTACAAAACACTAAAATGCCTCTAGACAGAACAAAAAATAAATAAAATAAAATAATAACATTAAAATAAGTTAAACAATTGACTGATGCGCCGATATACGCGGTATCGCCCAAAAATGTATATTGCAAACTAGGCCTCGGACGGACGGCGTGGGGGCAGAGAGACGGACAGAGAAAGTTGCTGCAATAGCGCACTCAGTTTTTTTTATTAAAAAAAAAGGTCAAGAATGTCCGACTTTTTCAATTAATTCGCTATTTTTCTTTTTATTACAGGAAACGGCATTTCCTCTTCATGTAGGATCCTGATCCGTTAATATCTCGTACAATTGTATTTGCCTCTTCAGGGACCACTATTTTGTGTTTTTGCATACTGCCTTTTTGTTGGGGGTTGAAATATTTTGCAATTTGTGGCAAAACCGAGGGCAAAACTATTCATTTTAGGCTTTTTTGTTTCTACACCTTCTTCACATAACCTCAAATTTTCCGAGAAAAACCGGAACGTAGTTTTTTTTATGACAAAAAAAGAAGACAATTTTTGTGCCCGCAAATTTGCACCGTTTCCGAGATATTCACTATTTTTTGAATAATAATAATAATAATAATAATTCAAAAAAATGCTACTGAATACAGTGTGTACTTATTTTACGGGCTATACAAAAAAATAAAGTTGTAACGTTGTATTGAAAATCTCTCAACGGGGTCTTGTAGAGCTCAAAAAGCGGCAATGAGAATGTGTGTTCAAATAACATCAGAAAAAAAAAATAAAAACCAAAGGGAAATTTCGGTTTTTCTAGCATATCTTCCGAAGCCATCGGAATTTTCTGTTTCTTTTTAAAGCATGATTATAACCGTAATTTGACGATGTCGTTTCTTCTATGGTTTCGGAGATCCCCATGATAGACATCCTTGTCTTTGGACACAGTGTATATGCTGTACAAGATACTACTCTACGCATGAAAAATATCCTGTCGTCATCCGCATATATAGACTAGAATGTTGGCCACCGATTTCGTTGGAGAAACGGCAAACGTCCCGAGTCGTAAGCACTCAGTCGACAATTCCATGACATCCACGACGAACCTAGTCGTCGCTGATTAAGAGGGGTAGTCCGTTTCAGAAATAGAAATCGCACATGGTGCAATCAGAGCGAGCGGTGTGATTCTTCCCTCGACACTATTCGTTTTGATATCTATCTGTGGTCTAGTTTCCCTCACTTCCATAACAGGACGTTTGTTGATATCGAACGGAAAACCGCGGAGGGCGAGTGCAATTCCCTTTATTGCCCAGATCACTTGATCCGCTTGTTACTAGTCTATCAAATCAAAAAAAAATGTTTTTAATTCCATGAAACTGCGCAATCAACGGAGAACATTAATAGGTGCAAATTTACGGCTGCCAAAGGTCAATGTCAATTGGCAACTGATTGTACTCTATTAAACTGCAACTTAAGTGTACGTCCCCACCTCATCCCCATGCGATACGAACAAATCGCAAAAATTACCGCCTTTTTTTCTCTTGAGTATATATTGATAAAGAGATCGAAAAAACATATCAAGGGCACTGGAAAATTGGGCCGTTAAAAAAATCCAGGTAAATTCCGTCACTGTACGCCTACTCCTCGCGTGATCTTAAAATAAATTGCAATCGATTAAAAAAAGTGATGAGTTACATAAATAAGTTGAACTTTGCCCCCCCGCGATAATTGACTATGACTGTCGACAGTCTAATGTATTACTAAACCTATGCGTCAGACGAAAGGGTAATGAACCAGTTGAGGCGATTTTTTCAAAAATTTTCCAAAAAATCTTACCCCTGTCTGTAATGGTCTGCTGTACTTTTCAATTATGGATTTCAGTGCTTTTTACTACTGCGCCTCATTAATGTAAATGAAGTGGTTTGGAAGTGGTTCAATTTTTTTGATCTCCGATAGCTTCTTGGAAGATCTCTAAGTGCTAAAATGGTCTTAGATTACTAAGAAATTTTGGAAAAGGTTTATTGAAAAACCAAGCGACAAGTTCCTAGGTAATGATTCCAAAAAAAATCCTAGGAAATTGAAAAAAAAAACACGCCAGATAATTTCCAAAAGGTGTAGAAAATATCATCGAGCGATTCGTAATCGTTGATTAGGCGCATAGATTATACCGTATTTTCCCAAAATGTTACACTTTTCCTCAACTTATGAGGGCCTGAAATGGCTTGGGGAAAGGGACCCATGGAATGAGTATCGAAATTAAGTCTTTGTATCTTTGTTGCAGGATGGATAGGATCACGTCACGTCGTTACGTTCATGCTGTTCCTGGGAATGGCGAACGCCTACGTTATGAGAACCAACATGTCCGTCGCGATTGTAGCGATGGTCGACCACGACGCTATCGCGCCCGAAAATCCCGAAATAGACGAAGAGTGCGGCGCATATAACGCGGTATGGGGTCGACCGTTACACAGCGGGGGACGTTTGTTAATTTTCTTTGGTTTTTCCAGACGAAACCGCCGATGGACAACGGCAACGGCGAATTCGCGTGGGAGGCCGACAAGCAAAGCCTCATATTAAGTTCCTTTTTCTACGGTTACGTTGTTACGCAGATTCCCTTCGGGATCTTGTCGAAGAAATTTGGAGCGCTGTGGTTTTTGGGCGTGGGAATGTTGATTAATTCGGTATTCGCATTCCTGGTACCGGTATCGGCGCATTGGGGTTTCGGATGGTTGCTAGCGTGTCGCTTTATTCAAGGATTAGGGGAGGTAAGTTGCAGTTTGCAAGAAGTACAATAAGTGAAATTCATTTTCGGCTCGTAAGTCCGAGCGAAAATGTGCACATTTCACTTTTGTACCTTGTCTTGGTATTCAAACATTCATTTCTGGCCAGGGCCCTATTGTACCATGCACGCATGCGTTGTTGGCTAAGTGGATTCCTCCTAACGAAAGAAGTCGCATGGGCGCATTCGTTTACGCAGGTATATGTTTTTTCTATTTACCCGTCCCTCGTCCAGTTGGTTTGTGTCTTACCATTCGGACTCGGGTCAATGAGTAACCATCCGTTTGCTTTCAGGTGCACAGTTTGGAACGGTCATTTCGATGCCTTTAAGTGGGCTATTATCCGACTCATCACTTCGATGGCCATCGGTTTTCTACGTTTTTGGAGCTATCGGTACCATTTGGTCGATTTTATTTCTACTGTTCGTGTTCGAAGATCCGGAACGTCACCCCAGGATTTCAGACGAGGAGAAACATTACATTAAGAAATCCTTGTGGGGGGCGGCGAACGCAACGGTGAGTCTTACGCTAGCCAAAGTGGGCGAGCCTGAACTGTTGATCCACAGTCTCCACCCATACCGTGGAAATCCATCGTGACGTCGTTGCCATTTTGGGCCATCCTCATCGCGCACATGGGTCATAATTATGGCTACGAGACTTTAATGACCGAACTTCCTTCGTACATGAACCAAGTGCTGCACTTCAGCCTGAAAAGCGTAAGTCCACCACATTTAACTCGCTTTTCCTCACGTCAAGATTACAGAATGGATTCTTGTCGGCCTTGCCGTACCTCGCCATGTGGATTTTTTCAATCTTCATCAGTCACGTGGCCGACTGGATGTTAACAAGCGGCAGATTCTCGCACACTGTGGTTAGAAAAGTGATCAACGGAATTGGTAAGTGCCCCGAAAACTAGCCACAGTCGCCATAGGTCAATTCGCCAAACCATAGGTCAATTCGGTCCAGGAATCGCATTAATCGCGGCAGCTTTCACCGGTTGCGATCGATGGCTGACAGTGGGTCTACTCACCGTCGGCGTCGGCCTTAACGGCGGCATATACTCAGGCTTCAAAGTAAACCATTTAGACATATCGCCCAGATTCGCCGGAATTCTCATGGCATTCACGAACTGTCTGGCCAATCTCGCCGGATTACTCGCGCCGCTTTACGCCGGATACATGGTCAAAGGCCAGGTGAGTAATCCCCTCTCCTTTTAACTTCCAAAATTAATTGCCCAACTTTCAGCCGACGCTAAAACAGTGGGGAAAGGTGTTCGTGACCGCGGGCGGTGTTTATATAGTCGTCGCCACGATCTTCGCCATATTTGCCTCGGGCGACAGGCAGCCGTGGGACAATCCCGACAACGACGAAAAAACCGAACAAACTCGCAGCGCGGAGAACGGCGAGAATCACACGAATGTCCAAGTGACGGAAACGTAGAATTAATTTTAAGTTTAAACCTTAAGTACAACGTTATATTTATTTTTTAATTTTCCTGTAGTTATATGAGTAGATGTGGATAAGTGCGAGCGAACGTGTTAACAGTAAACCTTTTTTTATAAACCTGGACTCTTATTTTGACAATAAGAAATGTACATTTTCTGAAAAGGTATTCGCAAAGGGCGGTTGGAACGTCTCTACAATTAATTAGATCAACTCCTTTTTTATGCGCCAATTTCATTGGGATTGCGCTTTCTCTGCAATAGACCTGGCTCAATGAGAGTTTTATGGATTTTGGCCAAGTTGAACTACTTTCACGTGAGCTGTACGACGGCTCAAAACACATTGAATATCAATAACATTATGTGATTCAGCTGTAACACTGTACTTACATAAACCAATCCGGACACGACTTTATCAAGCTATTAAAAAAATCCATGCCGCATCTTGCCTTCGATTGTCAAAGATAAAAAGCGCGCAAGTCTTCTGGACAATATTTAAAAGAAATTTAAAATTAACACAAATTTATGGCATGATTTAATATAACATGGACGGTCAATGGTATTCTTGCATTTTTTAAAGGTTAACTAGCATATAATAATAATAATAATAAATGTCTTTATTGTCAAGCGAACAAACAGCAGATAAATAACATTTCTTTGTTGATACATTTATGCGTGACAATAGGTGAAAGTTCAGGGGCAGGCACAAGCGCCGCTCCTGGTCTTCCACTTGGACCAAAATCAGCAACGGGAACAGAGCTGGGCAGAATACTTTCAAAAGTATTCGAATACAGTAAAAAGTATTCAAATACTTGTCACTCAAATACATTAAAAATTTAAAATAGTATTCTACCTAGATAAAAGGCTTAATACTACTTAAAAAATCAAGTTATACTTTGTATGGGGTTAGCTTTTTTTATATTTCTATTGTTATATACAAATTTAAGAGGAGTAAAAGCGTATTATTATTATTATATTATTATATAGGAGGTACAGTCGTGGTCAGAAGTAATGTCCTCCCTTAGAAACTGCAACTGTAGAAAAAGTACCAATGTGTCAGTTTCTCCGTGATTTAGTTCAATTTCATTTCAATCTTAGGCATTTTCCTCATGTTGAAAAGAAGCTCAAATCTCACAGGAGATCCGGTATATTAATTATGTGCTACACTTGAGATAATCGAGGGACATTACTTCTGACCAAAACCGTACCTACCAGGACCTTTCTTATACCAGTTATATCCTTAAGAATACGTATACCAGTTTTCAAAGCGATCGTACGTCGTGCACATGATACGTACGCCTTTCTGAAATTAATCCTAGCGATTTTGGAACAGATCGATTTTTGACCATCCGTTTGTCCGTGTGCATAGTTTGTTTAGAAACGTGCGATCGCTTTGAAAATTGGTACACATGGTCTTAAGGACATAAGAAAGGTCCTTATTGTTTTTAAGTTACGTAGACTATCGAGTTCGGTATTCAGATGTATCGGATTTTTACATTTGATTTTGTGACAATGGAAACTTTCCCTAAAAATGTCTAAATTGTTCTCAAATATTTGAATAACTTAAAAGTACTGCCTTTCTTTGAAGCCGGAAAAAAAATTGTCGAGATCGACCGGGAAAACATTTTCTTATAGAATGTGGCCTGTAGAATCCATAATTTCAAACAGTTCCAAGATTGGGCTACTAGTTCAAAAGTTACCGCCCTTTGAATTTTCTTTCGAAATTGGTTTCTAGTCTATAACTTTTGATTGAGAAGTCTGATCGAAAAAGTACGAATTGTTTTGGATTCTACGCACCAAAATTAATAAGAAAAAGTGTTTTCCCGAGAAATTTTGGTGCAGTCGATTTTTGGTAAAAAAGGAAGGTTATACACTGCCTTTTTTTGAGCCCCGAAAAAAAAATTGTCTCAGATCGACCCGGAAAAAAAATTTTCTTATAGAATGTGGCCTGTAGAATCCATAATTTCAAACAGTTCCAAGATTGGGCTACTAGTTCAAAAGTTACAGCCCTTTGAATTTTTTTTCGAAATTTGTTTTTTGTCCATAACTTTTGATTGAGAAGTCTGATCGAAAAAGTACGAATTGTTTTGGATTCTACGCACCAAAATTAATAAGAAAAAGTGTTTTCCCGAGAAATTTTGGTGTAGTCGATTTTTGGTAAAAAAGGAAGGTTATACACTGCCTTTTTTTGAGCCCCGAAAAAAAAATTGTCTCAGATCGACCCGGAAAAAAATTTTCTTATAGAATGTGGCCTGTAGAATCCATAATTTCAAACAGTTCCAAGATTGGGCTACTAGTTCAAAAGTTACAGCCCTTTGAATTTTCTTTCGAAATTGGTTTCTAGTCTATAACTTTTGATTGAGAAGTCTGATCGAAAAAGTACGAATTGTTTTGGATTCTACGCACCAAAATTAATAAGAAAAAGTGTTTTCCCGAGAAATTTTGGTGTAGTCGATTTTTGGTAAAAAAGGAAGGTTATACACTGCCTTTTTTTTTGGCCCAAAAAAAAATTGTCTCAGATCGACCGGGAAAAAAAATTTTCTTATAGAATGTGGCCTGTAGAATCCATAATTTCAAACAGTTCCAAGATTGGGCTACTAGTTCAAAAGTTACAGCCCTTAGAATTTTTTTTCGAAATTTGTTTTTTGTCCATAACTTTTGATTGAGAAGTCTGATCCAAAAAGTACGAATTGTTTTGGATTCTACGCACCAAAATTAATAAGAAAAAGTGTTTTCTCGAGAAATTTTGGATTAGTCGATTTTTGGTAAAAAAGGCCCGAAACAAAATTGTCTCAGATCGACCCGGTAAAAAAAGGAAGGTTAAGTATTCAAATACTATGCGAAGTATTCGAATACTTCTCAAAGTATTCAAATACCTTGCGAAGTGTTCGAATACTAAATATTTGTGAAAGTATTTGAGTTACAAATACAAATACTGCTTCCATAAAAGTATTTAATTACAAAGTATTTGAATACTAAAAAGTATTTACAAAATGGAATACTGCCCAGCTCTGAACGGGAAGGAAGAAAATAAAATTTACAATATAAATAGAAGAAAGAAAGAGGAAAGAAATAAAATCTACGATATAATTAGGATGATATGGAAAGGACGATCTAAGCGCGTCAATAATAGTGATTCAATCCAAAGGAATAAGTGAAAAAATAAAGAGGAAAAATTGTTGGCGAATGATTGATAAATTTGATTTGTTATCTGTATATAAATTAGTGAAATGAGTACTATTTAAACAAGTTCACAGCTTCCTGATTATTAACTACTTCCCTCGTTATAAATTTTTATTTGGGTTACCGTAAAATTATGGATATTAACAATATCCCATGCGATTTTCGTTTTGTTACAAGAATCATATACCTACGTGTGGTGTTTATGCTTCCTCTTCATCATTCATTTGTGGACAGTTCAAACAGCTTCTTTGGCAGTTGGCACAGGCAGCGGTGCAAAATACGCCAGCCTTCTTGCAACCCCGATAACATTGAATATTTCTGTAATATACAAGGAATAGTCAAAAAGCTGTATTTGAACATGTAGGTATTAAATATATCTGGAATATGTATGTACGTGCCTTGTAAGCTGAGATATACTAGTAATGCGAATGGGAATATCTCAGATATAGGTAACCTTAAAAGTATATTCTCTATTTATTCTCAATATTCTTAGGATATTTACCACTTCTGATATTCTGAGAATAAACTTACAGAATATTCTCAGTTTATTCAGAATCTTCACTGTTTATAAGATACTTATAGCTCTTTCGGATGTTCTGAACATAAACTTGAATTAACGGTATCCGTTTCTTCTCAATATTCTTAGAACATGCTCTACACTTGACCCATCACTACTCTGCATGTGCAATTTTGGAAGTATGAATATTCACAGGACATTCATATGGTTATTGGAATAGGTATGCAGCTTTGATTATAAAATTTATATATATATTCAAAGGTATGCCGTATAATACAATCCACAATATCATCAACGGAACACAATTCTCACATTGAATTTAATTTTTAATTTGTTTAAATAAAAATATGTACGTGGAGAAAAAAATTATTTATTAAAAAAAATTCCCACATTTAAACTTATCGGCATGCCATAAGTATAAGGTGTATTACAAGAACGAAACATCACATTTTCGATTTTCCCAATCAGTTATCCTGGAGATGACACCAAAGAGTAAGGTACTCTTTGGTGACACAACACAATCTCGTACTAAACGGAAATGTTTGCAGTGGCGACATCTAGGTAAATTTCCCCGAAGTTTAGCGGATGAGATATATAAGTAGTTGACAACCTATAATAAAGATAATTTTTAATTCAAAATAAGTGTCTACCGAACCACTTACCTAAAACAGACATTTTGTGTATTGTAATTAAGGCTTGAAATTAACACGTGATTGTGACAAAACGAATATTCCCCATACATCCAGGGAATTTTATAACAGAATATTCAATACAGAAAATCAAGAAATATATTAATAGTGTATATTCATTGCTGAATATCCTTGGAATATGCCAGACGAACGTATATATTCATGGAAGGGACCACTTAAACGCACCCAAGGACAAGAACCCTGGAGGAACTACGCTAACACTACGCGATCAAAATTGAGTTGCTGTTGAGTCACCTTTGGAATTTTTGGTTTACATGGGAAATCGTATTTAACTTGAACTTCCAAAGGCGACTCGATCGCCACTCATTTTAATCGCCCATTATGTCGAGAACAAAATGGCGGATATCAGTTGTCCAATTAACAAATTGAATTAGAGTGCCACCATCAGTAAGGTTCCCTCCTCGTCACGATATCGCGCAAAGTTGTTCACGATAGGAGAGCAAGTGGCAGTGGAAGGATCGCAGTTGGCCGGTGGAGGGAAGCTTCAACCCAAATATAGAGGACCATATACAGAATTCGGAGTGTACTGGCAAATGAAAGATACGTGGTATTCAAAAAAGGACGGCGAACTACTTTAGCTGCTATTTGCTAATGAGCAATTGAGACGCTAAATTTTGAACGTCAGTGAGAGCAGCAAAATCCTTCTACCGTATGTGACATCGGGCAAAGCGGAGTGAAATCTGCGAAGTGTCCCAAAAATATGTGCCTGTAGATTAGGGGAAGTAAGTACTCCATAAGTTAGCTTTGCGTAATAATGCATACCAATTGTTCCTATTCAAGTTAAGCCGCTGACAAAAAATCAATTGTAATAGCAAGAGACTGCGCTAGTTCTTTTAGGGTCTGTAGTCGGAAAGCCCACGAAATAAAGACAACTTTCAACATGTCGGCAATAACAATGTGTAGTGTTTGCGACGGTGATAACTGTAATAGTAATAGACAATAGATTTATTAATCACATCAAATCGATTGGCAATGTTATTAAAATCTATAAACGTTTCTTTTTACCTATATAAATAAAAATGAAATTTGTATAAAAGATAATTTCCAAAAAATTGTACGGAAAGACATTTTTTATTTTCCGTCATTTTAAATCGCAATATCCAATAGATGACGCCAAAATGAAATCTATTCTTAGATGTAGGTATACGTATTATACCAATCTACTATACAGTGACTCTATACACGACAGTTGCGACAATTAAATATGGTTTCATTTTTGATTGGTTGCTAAATCACGTGGTGTACCACCCGCAGCCATTTTGTGGCAAACTCTCAAAGGTTTACTTACGTCATGTCATGTTCAGTGACATAATCACTGTAATGCCATGTATGCGTGGTTGTTTCGCGGTAAACCGTTCAGATTTGTAAAGGATTAGGGGGTATTACACCCCTAAATTAAACACTATACAACAATTTACAATGGGCGTTTGCTTTATAATATAATTTATTGTATTTTCACAAGTTTAGGGCATTAAGTCCAATCGTTTCTAGGTATAGGTACAGTGACATAATTTAGAACAGTGGCGTCAGTGGCGACAACCGGGTATCTCGTTTTTGACTGGTCGCTGGTTTCGGTCGCCATATTGGGGCTAAAATGCTATACTTTGGTATGGGAGTTTACACTTTTCTTTGTGCTCTTGTGAAATTCTGTGAATAAAGGTGCTACTTACAAATATATTCCATAAAACGCAACAGAATTTTATTTAGCGTCATTCGCTAAAGTCCAAGAGGATTAGGTATAGGTTCATACTTGCGGAATCCAAAACTCTCAAGTATTATAATAATCAATTCGACTAAATGGAGGAGATACAGTTAGAAAGATTCGATATGAGCGCACCGGAAAAGTATTATTACAGATAAGATAAGGCACACTGATCTGATCCTTCAGCACCAAGACCCGTTATCTCAGGTTCGTGAAAAGTAATCTAGGCACTAGACAGTTGTTATTAGCTATTATCTCAGAGATTCATGATTCGGAAAGTAGGTACCTATACCTAGTGTCCTGCTGGATGCAATAGAAAACGAGTTCCATTGCTACTAGTCAAGTCACTAATGCTACCATAACACTCCAAACTCAGGAAATGACTGCGGCCTAAATCGGAACACATCTTTTCCAAAGTTTCACAACAATAGCACTCACGAAGGGCTTGAGAAACGGACGGAAATGCGCTCTACTGTAATAAACGCATTTTCATGGATTGCATTGCAAATGCTAGGATAGGTATCTATTGCACCAGAGACTGGGACCATATAAGTTATTACTTTGTAAACCCCAAATATAAACGCTTTTGAACAGGTGAACATTTAATTGGGAAAATATGCATCATTTATAGATTTCAATAAAATCTTCATAGAAAAAGTACAGTTTGGATGTGATTAATAAATCTATTATTTATTATTATTACAGTTATCACCGTTGCAAACACCACACATCGTTATTTTCGACATGTTGTAAGTTACCATCAATTCCTTGGCATTCCGATTACAGACCCTAAAAGAACTAGCGCAGTCTCTTGCTGTTACATGTGATTTTTTGTCAGTGGAAACTTGAATAGAAAAAATAGGTATTATGCATTATTACGCAAAGCTAAATTATAGAGAACTTACTTCCTGTAACATACAGGCACGTATTTTTGGAACATGTCGCAAATTTAATTCCGCCTTGCCCGCTTTCACATTCGGTAGGAGTTTGGCCCTTATTGGTGCTCAAGCATTGAAGACAGGGAAAATCAGCTAAGTTTTTCATTGGTCAGTTAAAAAAAATTAAAAAAGTGAAGTAGATAGGTACTTACCCACAGTAACACAAATTAGGGACGCGATGACAACCAGCAAAGTTTTAAAATACATGTTGACGGTGATTTGCTTGTAGGTATACCTATGGGTATTTATAGACATCTGCCCCAAACTGTGCCCACGCAGGTGATAAACAGATAAAATGCATCTTGAAAAATTGATATCAACAAAAAACAAATTTCGAAACCCGACAAATAACAGTCAACTCCACTTTCAGCTTCACCGAAGTGATCTTTTGTCGATCCAGTAAATAGCATTCTTCACGGAGGGGACACAATATCTATTATGGCCATGCGACTTAAGATTCTTAATTACGTTCTTAGTATAACAAATACCAATTTGGTTATCTAAGATGCGATTTTCAAAATTCGATAAGACAAATATGTTCTGGAAAATAACAAATAATGGAAATGATAAAACTGAAACAATGAAGATACTCAAATTTCATGGTCAACTCTCGATACGGTTTCAGATATGCTTGTTTTTCGGCTCTTATGGTAAACTAATATGCTCGTCCGCCCCATATTACTCAGTACGTTGGCAACGTTGACCCTCAGCGTCGAAATAATTATTTCAAAGATTAGGTGGCAATGAAAGGCTCCTTAAAGTGTCTTGTATCAGGAGAATATGATGTGCGAGAAGATTGAAGGTTAGGATAAAAAATTAGTGAGGTTAGGTTAGGGTGATAGTGAGGTTAGCTCAAAAAAAGGCACCTTCCTTTTTTACCAAAAATCGACTGCACCAAAATTTCTTGGGAAAACACTTTTTCTTATTAATTTTGGTGCATAGAATCCAAAACAATTCGTACTTTTTCGATTAGACTTCTCAATTAAAAGTTATAGACTAGAAACCATTTTCGAAAGAAAATTCAAAGGGCTGTAACTTTTGAAATAGTAGCCCAATCTTGGAACTTTGTTTAATTAGTTTAAATATAATATCATTGATAAATTCAATGATGATATATATCTATGGATGATATTAACAAGTGCGCCATCTCCTTGGTAATCGATACACTTTTTTCATTTTATAGTATTTTAAGTTTAGTTGAGATGTCGCCACGTACGTAACTTCATTTGAAATTGCTTTTGAATTTATGCGATTAATAGCCACCTTGGACTTAGTTTTCCCTAAATGGCACTTCAAGATGGACGGAGTCTTGCAAAATCTGTAGAGCAATTGTAGTTCAATGCCCCGGATTTTGTTTAATTAGTTTAAATATAATATCATTGATAAATTCAATGATGATATCATAGATATATAAATACCTAGATACAGCCATCCTTAACAAACGTACCTCGGTTTTTAAAAAACATATCAAAGAAATTTGTACATCTCTCCATTACTTTCTAACCAAGAAGAAACATGTTCTATCTCTTTTTATTGCATTAACCACTATGTCGTACGCGAATCGGACGCTTAAAACAAACTTAGCGCGTCCCATAGTCATGTGACAGTTGACACATATCACGATCGCGCGAAATCAAATCTAACTAAAAATATTCGCCCTAAACATGATGGGCGGTTTTTTCACTAAATATTATGTAATTATTGCGTTTTCAATTGAATACGAATAACATTAGTGCTTGCCATAATGATAGACGCGTCCATAATTGTTATTCCTGAAACAGTTTTATTACATAGAGCTACGCCATTCAAATTTGGGACTATGTTTACCTTGTTTGGCATGATGTGCTGCAGTGAATTCATTGCTGGCTTGCAGAATATCAAAAAAACCGTAAGTAAGTAAAGTTTATGTTCATCATTTTAATTTTAATTGCATGGTTTTAGGCGTAATGGTAACGGAGATTAAGTTGCGACAGGAAGTGAATTCGTTTCCAATTATCATTTTGGCCTATATGATGTTGATGCAGTGCGTTTGTATCATGATCACGAAGGATCCGTGCAATATTCTTAGGAAAACGAGATTCATAGACTGTGTGTGCGTGCAATATCAAATTTTGGTCGCTACGCGTCTTGCCTACCTTTCGGCATATGTCCAATCGGTGGGGTTTCTTTTTGAAATTATAGTGCTAATTGTTGTAAGCTACACGTGTACATTTATTTAAAATAAATACAACATCTTAACAATGATATTCAATTGGTGATAATACTCATTTAGTGAACATTTATTACGTTTGTAAAAGTTCACAATCCGAATCATCGTCAGATGAAATTGACAAATCCGAATCATCACTGTCATTATTAACACTTATTATAAAGTTCAGAAACATCAACCAATATAACTTCTCTTTTAAATTAATCACTTTCCACATGTTCACACACTTTCTTCCAGTTGTCAGCTGTAATTTTTTCAAATTCTTCATTTGCCAGCTTTCTAAGTAACATCTTCCATTTTAAATGTAACATTTCTTGCTGCTAAGCGATTTAAATAAATAAAAGGGCGGTTTATTTATGTTGTAAAGTCCCAAATCTGATCATTTTCTTTGTGATTTGTGCTAACAATTTGATTGACAGTTATAATAAATAATGCGAATCTTGTCTTCCATGCTCAGGGTACCTCTATAAAGGATAGCGCTATACGTAATTAATGTGCCGAAAGTGATGGTAACAGATGGTACGTCCTTTTGAACTATGTTGGGGTATGGCTGTATCTATGTATTTATATATCTATGGGATGATATTAACAAGTGCGCCATCTCCTTGGTAATTGATACACTTTTTTCACGTTATAGTATTTTAAGTTTAGTTGAGATGGCGCCACGCACGTAACTTCCTTTGAAATTGCTTTTGAATTTATGCGATTAATAGACGCCTTGGACTTAGTTTTCCCTAAATGGCACTTCAAGATGGACGGAGTCCTTTTGAACTTGGAACTGTTTGAAATTATGGATTCTACAGGCCACATTCTATAAGAAAATTTTTTTTTCCGATTCGATCTGTATTATGTTCTCAATTTAAATTAGAATTAAGTCTAAAAATCTAGCGCGCTGTTGCTAGGGAAAAAAAGGATTGTCAATTATTATTTTTTAGTTAATTACGCATCGCTTTTCAATTAGGATATTAATTTCGACATAAATAGATCTCTGTACTTCTGTGTTATGGATAATTAAAGTTTACTAAACTAAAGACATGTGAATTTAACTAATAGTGTGCCACCTCAAAATACACAACAATCTGAGACAATTTTTTTTTCGGGGCTCAAAAAAAGGCAGTTATTACCTTCCTTTTTTACCAAAAATCGACTGCACCAAAATTTATCGGGAAACCACTTTTTGTTATTAATTTTGGTGTGTAGAATCCAAAACAATTCGTACTTTTTCGATTAGACTTCTCAATCAAAAGTTATAGACTAGAAACCAATTTCGAAAAAAATTCAAAGGGCTGTAACTTATGAACTAGTAGCCCAATCTTGGAACTGTTTGAAATTATGGATTCTACAGGCCACATTCTATAAGAAAATTTTTTTTCCGGATCGATTTGAGACAATTTTTTTGCAGGCCTCAAAAAAGGGCAGTGTATAACCTNCTTTTTATTTATTTAAATCGCATAGCAGCAAGAAATGTTACATTTAAAATGGAAGATGTTACTTAGAAAGCTGGCAAATGAAGAATTTGAAAAAATTACAGCTGACAACTGGAAGACAGTGTGTGAACATGTGGAAAGTGATTAATTTAAAAGAGAAGTTATATTGGTTGATGTTTCTGAACTTTATAATAAGTGTTAATAATGACAGTGATGATTCGGATTTGTCAGTTTCATCTGATGATGATTCGGATTGTGAACTTTTACAAACGTAATGAATGTTCACTAAATGAGTATTATCACCAATTGGATATCATTGTTAAGATGTTGTATTTATTTTAAATAAATGTACACGTGTAGCTTACTTACTACAATTAGCCCTATAATTTCAAAAAGAAACCCCACCGATTGGACATATGCCGAAAGGTAAGCAAGACGCGTAGCGACCAAAATTTGATATTGCACGCACACACAGTCTATAAATCTCGTTTTCCTAAGAATATTGCACGGATCCTTCTTTGTGATCATGATACAAACGCACTGCATCAACATCATATAGGCCAAAATGATAATTGGAAACGAATTCACTTCCTGTCGCAACTTAATCTCCGTTACCATTACGCCGAAAACCATGCAATTAAAATTAAAATGTTGAACATAAACTTTACTTACTTACGGTTTTATTGTTAATCTGCAAGCCAGCAATGAATTCGCTGCAGCACATCATGCCAAACAAGGTAAACATAGTCCCAAATTTGAATGGCGTAGCTCTATGTAATAAAACTATTTCAGGAATAACAATTCTGGACGCGTCTATCATTATGGCAAGCACTAATGTTATCCGTATTCAATTGAAAACGCAATAGTTACATAAAATTTAGTGAAAAATCCGCCCATCATGTTTAGGGCGAATATTTTTAGTTAGATTTGATTTCGCGCGATCGTGAAATGTGTCAACTGTCACATGACTTATGGGACGCGCTAAGTTTGTTTTAAGCGTCCGATTCGCGTACGACATAGTGGTTAATGCAATAAAAAGAGATAGAACATGTTTCTTCTTGGTTAGAAAGTAATGGAGAGATGTACAAATTTCTTTGATATGTTTTTTAAAAACCGAGGTACGTTTGTTAAGGATGGCTGTATCTAGGTATTTATATATCTATGTGATGATATGTACAAGTGCGCCATCTCCTTGGTAATCGATACACTTTTTTCATTTTATAGTATTTTCAGTTTAGTTGAGATGTCGCCACGTACGTAACTTCATTTGAAATTGCTTTTGAATTTATGCGATTAATAGCCGCCTTGGACTTAGTTTTCCCTAAAGGGCACTTCAAGATGGACGCAGTCCTTTTGAACTAGTAGCCCAATCTTGGAACTGTTTGAAATTATGGATTCTACAAGCCACATTCTATAAGAAAATTTTTTTCCTGATCGATCTGAGACAATTTTTTTTCGGGGCTCAAAAAAATGCAGTTATTTACCTTCCTTTTTTACCAAAAATCGACTGCACCAAAATTTCTGGGGAAAACACTTTTTCTTATTAATTTTGGTGTGTAGAATCTACAACAATTCGTACTTTTTCGATTAGACTTCTCAATCAAAAGTTATAGACCATTTTCGAAAAAAAATTCAAAGGGCTGTAACTTTTGAACTAGTGGCCCAATCTTGGAACTGTTTGAAATTATGGAGATGGACGGAGTCTTGCAAAATCTGTAGAGCAATTGTAGTTCAATGCCCCGGTTTTTGATTAATTAGTTTAAATATAATTTCATTGTAAATTCAATGATGATATGTACAAGTGCGCCATCTCCTTGGTAATCGATACACTTTTTTCATTTTATAGTATTTTCAGTTTAGTTGAGATGTCGCCACGTACGTAAATTCATTTGAAATTGCTTTTGAATTTATGCGATTAATAGCCGCCTTGGACTTAGTTTTCCCTAAATGGCACTCAAGATGGACGGAGTGTTGCAAAATCTGTACAGCAATTGTAGTTCAATGCCCCAGTTTTTGATTAATTAGTTTAAATATAATATCATTGTAAATTCAATGATGATATGTACAAGTGCGCCATCTCCTTGGTAATCGATACACTTTTTTCATTTTATAGTATTTTCAGTTTAGTTGAGATGTCGCCACGTACGTAAATTCATTTGAAATTGCTTTTGAATTTATGCGATTAATAGCCGCCTTGGACTTAGTTTTCCCTAAATGGCACTTCAAGATGGACGGAGTGTTGCAAAATCTGTACAGCAATTGTAGTTCAATGCCCCAGTTTTTGATTAATTAGTTTAAATATAATATCATTGTAAATTCAATGATGATATGTACAAGTGCGCCATCTCCTTGGTAATCGATACACTTTTTTCATTTTATAGTATTTTCAGTTTAGTTGAGATGTCGCCAAGTACGTAAATTCATTTGAAATTGCTTTTGAATTTATGCGATTAATAGCCGCCTTGGACTTAGTTTTCCCTAAAGGGCACTTCAAGATGGACGGAGTCTTGCAAAATCTGTAGAGCAATTGTAGTTCAATGCCCCGGTTTTTGATTAATTAGTTTAAATATAATTTTATTGTAAATTCAATGATGATATGTACAAGTGCGCCATCTCCTTGGTAATCGATACACTTTTTTCATTTTATAGTATTTTCAGTTTAGTTGAGATGTCGCCACGTACGTAAATTCATTTGAAATTGCTTTTGAATTTATACGATTAATAGCCGCCTTGGACTTAGTTTTCCCTAAATGGCACTTCAAGATGGACGGAGTGTTGCAAAATCTGTACAGCAATTGTAGTTCAATGCCCCAGTTTTTGATTAATTAGTTTAAATATAATATCATTGTAAATTCAATGATGATATGTCCAAGTGCGCCATCTCCTTGGTAATCGATACACTTTTTTTTTTATAGTATTTTCAGTTTAGTTGAGATGTCGCCACGGACGTAACTTCATTTGAAATTGCTTTTGAATTTATGCGATTAATAGCCGCCTTGGACTTAGTTTTCCCTAAAGGGCACTTCAAGATGGACGGAGTCTTGCAAAATCTGTAGAGCAATTGTAGTTCAATGCCCCGGTTTTTGATTAATTAGTTTAAATATAATTTCATTGTAAATTCAATGATGATATGTACAAGTGCGCCATCTCCTTGGTAATCGATACACTTTTTTCATTTTATAGTATTTTCAGTTTAGTTGAGATGTCGCCACGGACGTAACTTCATTTGAAATTGCTTTTGAATTTATACGATTAATAGCCGCCTTGGACTTAGTTTTCCCTAAATGGCACTTCAAGATGGACGGAGTGTTGCAAAATCTGTACAGCAATTGTAGTTCAATNTCGGGCCTCAAAAAAAGGCAGTGTATAACCTTCCTTTTTTACCAAAAATCGACTGCACCAAAATTTCTCGGGAAAACACTTTATCTTATTAATTTTTGGTGCGTAGAATCCAAAACAATTCGTACTTTTTCAATCGGACTTCTCAATCAAAAGTTTATAGACTAGAAACCAATTTCGAAAGAAAATTCAAAGGGCTGTAACTTTTGAACTAGTAGCCCAATCTTGGAACTGTTTGAAATTATGGATTCTACAGGCCACGTTCTATAAGAATTTTTTTTTCCGGGTCGATCTGAGACAATTTTTTTTCGGGGCTCAAAAAAAGGCAGTGTATAACCTTCCTTTTTTACCAAAAATCGACTGCACCAAAATTTCTCGGGAAAACACTTTTTCTTATTAATTTTGGTGCGTAGAATCCAAAACAATTCGTACTTTTTCGATCAGACTTCTCAATCGAAAGTTATAGACTAGAAACCAATTTCGAAAGAAAATTCAAAGGGCTGTAACTTTTGAACTAGTAGCCCAATCTTGGAACTGTTTGAAATTATGGATTCTACAGGCCACATTCTATAAGAAAATTTTTTTCCGGGTCGATCTGAGACAATTTTTTTTTTCGGGCCTCAAAAAAAGGCAGTGTATAACCTTCCTTTTTTACCAAAAATCGACTACACCAAAATTTCTCGGGAAAACACTTTTTCTTATTAATTTTGGTGCGTAGAATCCAAAACAATTCGTACTTTTTCGATCAGACTTCTCAATCAAAAGTTATAGACTAGAAACCAATTTCGAAAAAAAATTCAAAGGGCTGTAACTTTTGATCTAGTAGCCCAATCTTGGAACTGTTTGAAATTATGGATTCTACAGGCCACATTCTATAAATTTTATTTTTAAATTTTTAATAAATTTGAGTGGCAAGTATTTGAATACTTTTTACTGTATTCGAATACTTTTCAAAGTATTTGAATACTTATTTTTTTAAGTATTTGAATACTTTTCAATGTATCTGTATCTATAGTATTCGCTTGTGCTGGACGTAAAAGTATTTAGTATTCAAATACTTTTTTAAAGTATTCTGCCCAGCTCTGATTCAAATGTATGTTGCAATTGCAATTAACTCTTGATACTTTTTCAAACAACCTTGACTTCTAGGAGAACGTAACTAGAATAGACATAGAAATCTTTTATTGCATTTTTACAAAAATAGAAAAGCATAGCATATACCTATAGAAAATGTAAAACTAAATTATATAAAATGTTAAGTACAATATTCTTAAATGTGAAGTATGCCTAATACAATATACATATAATTAAAAAAATACCTACAAATATTTATCGGGTGATGGAAAAAATTTCTGCTTTCGTTTACCCAATCTAAAATGGAGAAAGGTAAAAAATGGAAATTGCAATTGTATCCCACTCACTTCATATAGTACGGACTAAAAATTCCTGCCTTGTTTCGAGGGTAAAGTAATGAATCAGTACTAGGCGTCTGCTGCAATTTTCCCATAGGCGTTTTGAATTCGCCGTTTGACTCGAGGAAAGATTCCCAAAAATCGGACGACAGTCCGATCAGTTGATCCATCACCATAAATTGCTGCCTGGTTTCGGTTAGAAGCTGTTCGGAATTACAATCGGACGACGAATAGCCAATGAGCGTGGGTCCGAAAACTTTCGCCAAATTATCAGCTGGCATTTTGCACTCGGGCATGTTGCTCACGCTGTAAATTGGGCGTTAATGCGATTCGATGTACGTGAATCTTTTACCGTTGAAGGTGCAATAGCACATAAGCTAAAGTATCGCGATTCGGTTGCGGCAGTTCGGAAACAATCTGATTTAGAATTGGAATCGCTTCGTTCTTGTTCGCCATTTCGGCTGCTTTAATGAAATCGGACCGTCGCGAGTAGGTGACCAGCGGCTCTTGAAGGTTGCGTAAGAAGTCCTTGATTGTACCGCAAATTACGTGTATGTCTACTTGGCTAAGGCAGGGCAACCCTTTGCCGTTTAAGAACTTTTCCTAAAATTACCAATGCAATTAATGGTCACTCAATTTGATTGTAACTCGTTTGTATAGATATTTTCTTTTAAATTTCTGCGTTGTAAGTAGTTAATAATTATGCGTAGTAGTTTGTCACCTTGTAATTTAAATTAGTTTCTTTAAAGGCCGAAGTTACACTACCTACAAGTAATGTAGCCACAGTTTAAGACAAAAAAAACCGCGTCCAAAAATAGGGAAGGTGCCTTCAACTAACCTACCTTTAACGATTTGACTTCCCTCTCAGAACCAGGAATTCGGTATATACCAAGCTCGTTGTGGCCGCGACTTTCAACTTCCTTCATGCAGTGCACTATTAATGCGGGCACCATCGGCGACGAGGTCGGCGTGTAATCGCTAATCGTAACTAGCGCCCCCTTTTGCGGCGTATTTACGTTTGGCACGCACGGCAACGGAAGTTGGTCCCTGCACTCGGGATGGCAGTGGGTCCGGCACTGTACGCACTTGTAGACGTTACGTCCGAATTTGATTCGCTTATCGCATAGAGCGCATGTTTCCGGTATCATGACGATCTTGCTTTGGAACTGATGCTGCCTAACGTTTATATTGCTGCCGGATGCGATACTATTATTATTATTAACGAAGTGTGCGGGCGGCGCACTCGGACGAAAGTCCTTGACTTTCTATAAGAGACTTACAGTTGTGACTCCTTTAGTTTATAGTTTACCTTTGCTGCTTCTGGCGGCACAGATTCGATTATTGAAGTTGCCGTAATCGGCCCATCTCTGCTTACAGTTAATGTAGTAGTTGCCCTCACTGTGTCTGCCGCATTTATCTCGACAACTCTATTGCTGGAGCGACGCTTCTTTATCGGCGGCTCCGTTACAAACTCGCCACTTCGCCTCTGTGATTTCATAGTGCTACTTAATTTGTTGCAAAACGCGACTGATGTATCCAAGTCGTCTTCACTTCGAGAATAGCTGAAGTCTGAGATTAACGAACCTAAAATGATCGTTTTGTTTAACGTTAAAACTCTCAAATAAAGATAATGTAGCGAACATTCCAGATATCTCGATAGACATTGAGGCGCCATGAAAGATTAATCATCGGTGGTAAAGAACCAAGGCGAATGTGACGTAATCTTTCTCGGAAATATGCGTATATACTAGAACAGAATCGACAACACTCGGGTTTACTATATAAGCAAATCGAATTGCGTTTGAACACAGTTCCAACTTCGACGCGCTTGTGTTATGTTATAAATTGGAAGTGATAAATAATAATTACTGTTATAAATTAATCTATTGTAAGACTGTTATAAATTTACTTGAAGTTTTCACATCACCCATAAATATGTCTCGTTCCTACTGTTGAGACTTTTCATTAGAATACCATGAAGGATAGTAACACGTGTTGAGGAATTATAACCGAACCCAATAATAGGTCGTGGAGGAAAGCGATAGTTGGTAGAAGTCAATTCCTTTTGTTAAGACCTTTCACTAGAGTATCATAAAGCATAAAGTCAGCCCCCGCCCCCCCAATATTCCCCCTAATTTTGATAAGGGATAAAGACAGGAACGGTAGAAAACAGTTCCTTTCGTTGAGACCTTTAATTAGTACCATGAGACCTTTTCGGGATTTGCGGGTGAACGAGACGTCGGAAGGGGGTACCGACAAAGGGAATGTGGTAACCCCCCGCGCTATAGATCAGTTCTTAGACCTTGTATCAACTTCCGGTTTTCGCTATACACGGTGTCCATTTTTTGAGTGCCACTATGGGGATCTCGCTTATCTTAAGAGATAGAAATTTGGTTAAATGAGGGCAAAGTTGTGAATTTTGGTGCTGAATAATAATCTGAAAAGAAATTTAAAATATCTTCAGTAGTTTTGAAAATATCGCAAAAAAAAGAAAATTTCTGACTTTCGTTTTTAATTTTTTCATAGTAAACTAATCGTTCTAGACATTTCTAATTAACACATTATTCAGACACTTTTTAATGGAGATTTCGAATATGGCATCCCGTTTTAAATAACTTTTAAGATGACGGGCAAACACGTGGCAACTTTAATTTTTCTTATGGGCGCCGTTTTGGATTTTGACATTTTTAGGTCTTTTTTTCTCTTTACAACGATATAATCACACATGGTGGTTCAGTAACACATTTTTCCTAAAATTACAATTTTCATTTTCTGCAAAAAGTGCTTTGGAAAAACAAAACGTTCTTTTTGTTATGTACAAAACGTTGACTTATTTCAAGTAGTGTCATTTACGTTTGTGTTTGTTTTATTGCGAAAATATTATTTATTCTTATGTATTTTTGTTCTAATTTGAATTATAATTTTCTCGCAAAACGAAGGTTCAATTCTATTCAGATGAAAATCGAATTTTCTCAACACAGATGGATCAAACTGTCAAACTTTTGTTCACGATAAAAGAGCGTTTTGTTTTTCCAAAGCACTTCCGAAAAAATTAAAAAGTGTCTGAATCATGTGTTAATTAGAAATGTCTAATATGATTAGTTTACCATGAAAAAATTAAAAACGAAGATCAGAAAGTTTCGTTTTTTTGCAATATTTTCAAAACTACTAAAGATATTTTAAATTTCTTTTCAGACCAGGAAAATTCGCAACTTTGTCCCCATTTAATCAACTCTCTATCTCTTCAGGTAAGCGAGATCCCCATAGTGGCACTCGAAAAATGGACACCGTGTATAAAACCTTATAGGTTCCAGGTTCAACTACCAAAAATTTACTTTATTGCCCAAAGCAGGTCTAAATCCCGATTTACGCACCAATTTCCTAGGAAAAAGAGCAAACTCGATTGCTCGATGACCAAGAAATGGTATTTGTGTATTTTTGATGACCAAAATATTTTTAAACAAAAGATGTCAACATCGCTATTTAAGCACCATTTTTCTTGGAAAAAAATACCAAACTCGATCCCCAGAAACGATCCATGGCGAGCAAAATGTTTTGGACAAAAGATCAAAATCCTTTGGATAAAAATATTTTGGTTGCCAAAAATGCAGATGGATCATTCCTTGGGCATCATGCAATAGAGTTTAGTCATTTTCCCAACAAACTTGGGCATAAAACGTTTTTGATCGATTTTCAGCAACAAAGTGATGGATGCCAAAGTTAATTTTGTATAGTTGCACATCTGGAACCCATAATTTAAATATTTTACCTTCACATTGAAATGACCAACATTTGATTTTAACAGCATTGAATGCCATTCTTATTTTTTGAAACCCAATGAGGTCTGCAGTACATCATTCCTCTTATTTGTCCTCTATGACCATTGTTATATATTCTTTCCTATGTAAACTGTATAAATTTAAAAAAAAACCCATAATATACACAATACAATACTTATGGGTGATACATAGAAACTCCCGATTGCTGCTGCAGTTTGTCTAATTAAATATTATGTATTCATTTTAAACGCTGAAACATAAAACGACTGGAGAATTTTGTAAAGTGGTAGTTTATATTGCCAACTAAACTGCCGAAGTGTCATTAGCTGTTAATGTAAAAGATTTATTTCTGTTCGCAGTGCTTGATATTTCTACTTTACAATAATTTGGTGCCGTTTTATATTTTTCCTGTGCGTGTTTATCTTCAAACACAGCGCCATCTACTACTTTCTTATAATGAATGCAGTATAGTAAGGTGGTAAACCTTACTCAATGTTTAATAATAATGTCATTTTTAACATAAAAATTAAAAGTCAAAAAGGTCTGTAAGTCATTATACAGTGTGTCCCAAGTGGTAGAATGCACCATAGGGAAACAGCAATGTATTTTTTCTCTTTGGTCAAGTTACAGATAGAGCTGATTTGAGAAAATTTTTTTTCGGGGATCAAAAAAAGGCAGTGTATAACCTTCCTTTTTTACCAAAAATTGACTACACCAAAATTTCTCGGGAAAACACTTTTTCTTATTAATTTGGGTGCGTAGAATCCAAAACAATTCGTACTTTTGCGATTAGACTTCTCAATCAAAAGTTAGGTATGGACTAGAAACCAATTTCGAAAAACAATTCAAAGGGCTGTAACTTTTGAACTAGGAGCCCAATCTTGGAACTGTTTGAAATTATGGATTCTACAGGCCACATTCTATAAGAAAAATTTTTTTCCGGGTCGATCTGAGACAATTTTTCTTCGGGGCTCAAAAAAGTCAGTGTTTTACCTTCCTTCTTCACCAAAAATCGACTACATCAAAATTTCTCGGGTAAACACTTTTTCTTATTAATTTGGGTGCGTAGAATCCAAATCAATTCGTACTTTTTCGATCAGACTTCTCAATCAAAAGTTATAGACTAGAAACCAATTTCCAAAAAAAATTCAACGGGCTGTAACTAGGGAATGCAATACCGGGATCCCGCAGAATTTTTGCGGGATTTATTTTAATACAGAAGTTAACTGCACAAAATTGCTTATTTGCCAATTTATTTAAAATTTTGCGGGATCCCGCGGGATTAACATCTAAGGATCCCGCAAATACCGGGATTGAGATTTTGCTGCGAGATTGCATTCCCTAATCTGAGCACACCACTGTGAAAGAAATTGCTTCACCGCATTTGTTTTGTGAAAGCAATTAAGTCAAATTATTGACCTACTAGTAAAAATCATTGACGAGCCTCCAGGTAAGGCGAGTACCCTGATATTCATCAAGAAAAACTGATTACAACACACCCTCCATTATCTCAATAAGACACACTGTCTACAAAAGTCACGAATACTAGGAGTTGTTGCTCAACAAACTTTCCTAAAATACAAAGACAAGCAGACAGGAACGGATTTTTGTTGATTACAAAATCGGCATACCTGTTGTATTCACTTCCTGTATGGCACTCAGTTGTGGTACTCCAACATCTAGCATGGCATTGGCGTTACTCCCTTCACGCTGCAAAAAATTTAACTCTCGGAGTAAGGGGTCAGGCAAATGATTTTGTTTATTAAATAGAAGTCGAGCGGCTGTGTCCATCTTACGACCCTGCAAAGATCTAGTGAAAGCGAAAGTTTAGTAGGATTCGACTTACTAATTCGTCACGTTCGTCTTCTAAGCGTCGCGAACGCCTCTTCTCCTGATCGAGCATTCTGCGTGCCACCTGCAATTTAGCTTCGTAATCCTCGGTTATCTTAGAGTTATCCATCCGCAACCGTTCCACCTCGTTTTTCGTCTTTAACCATTGCATGTTAATTCCTTTGGCCTGTTCGATGAAGTCCTCAAACTCTTCGGTAACATCCAGGAAAGAAATGTACTGCTTGTACGTTCGTATCATCGCATCGTATTCCGCCACAATACTCAATTCGCCATTGTTATTCCTTGAGGATTCTGAAGAACAACTTGTGGAGCTCTCTCCGCTGTCTGTTGTTTCTCTTGCGGTCGCCGGCGTTGCACGCATTTTTGACGGTTTCGGGGTTTTGTACTGCTTCTTGTGCATTTTCTAATTTAGGCTTCGAGATGAAAATTACAAAAACTTAAATGACGGTTGACGGGCTCTGTTGTTCTGTGCGTTTGACCAAATTTTAAACTGCTCGCTCGTCAAATTTCGGTTCTTGTTATCGCGATCGGCACTGTCCGTATTGGTAACGGCTTTTCTCATAGGAACAAATTTCATTGTACCTAAAGATTGTCATTGAAAAACCGTCTCCGATTTTTCATCTCATACCTTTTCCACCAGCCGACATAAGTATTTCCCAGAGACATGGTCTCTGGTATTTCCTTGAGTTTGGGCTTTACGCAAAGCCATTGAATAAGCACTTTAAAGAAGTATAACTACATAAAAAACCTGAAATTGGTGTAAGGTGTGTTGCATTCACTGCAAAGTGGTTAATTACCACAAATATTGAAGGATATTTGGCCTCGGGCGGTAAATAATGACTATTTTAAACAGGGAAACCAGTTATACTTAGGGGTTCTTTGTTTTCCTTGTTTATAAGAGTTGAACAGTGTTGTCATATTTACCAGATCCAGATCCTTATACAGGGTCATTCTTGACGAGCATCAGTTATAAAGATATGGAAAACCTTTGAAAATGAAGATAAACTGATAAGTTCTTTAATGGTTTTGGCACATGATGAATTGAACTAAAATATTGTCAAGATGGCGTCACTTCCGGAAGTAGCCATCAACTTTGTTATTTTAAATAGGGACCCCCTATTTTTTCTACATTTTCAGTTTCTACGTAGAATTTGGAGTACAACGATACCCCATGGTTGACCCTTTACTCCAAGGGCTTCGCCGATATTCAAGTGTTTATGTCAAAAATTGAATTTGCAGGGGTAATTTTAAAAATTTATTATTCGAAAACGGTGAGAGATATTGCGACACAGTTTACACTGATTTATTAAAGAAAGATCGAATTTTCTTATGGTGTGCGTAACAGTCTAAAAAAGTGAGACTACAACACTTTTTTAAAGCTCTCAACGTTTAAACTTAAATATCCGTAACTCCATTTTTTCAAATGGCACCCCCCATTTTGTTCTTCACCGTTGTTTTCCTTTTTCCCAGACCTTCAATTTGATACAAATTATGAAAAGCTGCTTTAAACGGTTTCCGAGATATTCCATGTTATAGTTACTTCTTGTGGCAAATTGATAAAAAAATTAAGTCGCTTGATGTTATTCTTTTGTTTTTATTATGATATTGTTTAAAATTCAAATTTTCGCTGCTTGAACTTACACTTCTCGTCAATAATGGATCGTTTGGGTTACACTAATGAAGATTTATAAATTACCAACGGTATAGGCGCAAAAGTAGACTTGAGTTTTATATTTATATAGACGTAGATACTTATATTGTAATTCCTTTTAGACAATGAATACAAAATACGTTTTAGATAATTCAACAACTTCCACCCTCGCTTCTCAAGTAACAAGTAAGCACCAGAATCAAGTTAACATTTGTTGTCAAAAACTTGTGTGACAATTTGCTGAAACGGTTTTATTACCTCTTGGAACAAAAAATTTAGTTCTAAAGATATTTTTTAACAAAAATATGTAGTCCAAACAGCAATTAAAACCAAATATTTCGTACGACAAATTGTTATGTAAGGATCTTTCTTCAAAGTGTTAACATCTACAAACCGTAAGTTCCATTCACTTCCGAGTTTTATATGTAATTTGTAAACATGTAATTTAAGTTCTCTGTGTTAAATAATGTAATGTGATTGTATCTAAATACACTTTAATGTAACAACTGTGTATTCTTTATCAATATTTATGATTTATATCGAATTTGGGAAATTACTTCATGACTTTAGAAGCTGGTCACCAGATGGCGCTACTCTGATTTCGATGCTAAAGTCACTAAATATAGTAAATATCTAGTGACTTTATTCGATGCTTTAGTTCACAGTACACCCACCAGGCTCCGCCAAAATACCATACAAATTTGTAACATTGCTGTTTCTATTCTGAGAAGGCCGTATTCTGTGAGTAAAGGTAAAGTAATTTAATTCCTATACACATACATCCTATAAACATTTTATAATAAAAAATATCTATGCCTAGTAATTTCCACAATGCAAATTGGAATGTACAAATAATTGCAGTTGAAAATTACACATCGATCGAAAATCATATAAGACTTATTCTGCTCGGGTACTCAATTTTTTCAATACGTGTAGACCCTGCTCTTGGTACTCCTGTTTTGACATCCAAAAGCTGTCCCTATCCTTCATGACCTCGGCCAAAACCGCACCCCCAATAAATACCATATCCTTACGCCTTGGAGGATCTTCGATTCTTATCTTAAATTTATGTAGCTTATCGATATCATTCTTCAGCACCCTTTCCAAGTACAGCTGCTTTATTTCGCGTTCTAAACGCGAAGGAAGTCCCGGATACATCGTCGAACCGCCAGACAACACGATATGTTTGTAGAGTTCGGAACGCATATCGATATCGGCAGCCTAAAATCGATGTCATTTTCTTTGCAAACGGAGATCAGCTTACTTGTATCGTGTTGAAGACGAGCTCCGCAATCCCGTGTCCCTCCACGTTGATGAGATGAGGTTGGAATAAAGCCTCGGGTGCCTCGAACCTCTCACCGCCCACTTTAATGACTCGCCCGTCGGGTAACGAGTACGCTTCGACAAGTACCGTCGTTTCCAATGCCAGCCTCTGCTCGGTTTCGATGTCGTACCCGATGTAGCACAATTTCTCCTTCATCATCCTCACCGTTTCGAAATCTGCGGAGTGATTGAATGCGTACCCCCTTAAAAGCAACAGTTTGATGAGGTAGCGCGTAATATCTCTGCCGGCGATGTCTAATCGTGTCGTTAAGTGTGGCAGGGCGTATGCCTCAAATACGGGACACACGTGGGTTACACCATCACCGGAATCGACGACCACTCCAGAAAGCAATCCCTGTAAATGGTCATGTAAAATGACTGTCTGTACTAATTAATTTATAATCGTTCACAAGCTGTGCCCTCTATTAACAAAAAGATGGACTATGATCAGTTTCAATACGAATATTTGATTCCATCAAATGTAAACGGAGCCTTAATGGTGTAAACGGATCAGTTTGTGCTAACCTGAGCATAGAGTGTCAGTACAGCTTGTATGGCAATATATGCGCCAGCGAACCCGTACTTTTCAAACATGACCTCGATCATTCTCTCCCGATTCTTGATTGGATTCATTGGCGGCTCAGTCAGTAGAATCTGTGAATCACTGTGGTCACATTCGCAGGAGCTTACGAATGAATTCTACCTTTGTTTCTTTTGGGTCCAAGTTCATCTTTTTCGGTCCGAATGTGTAATCCCAAACATGGCACATATCATCCCAATTACGCACGACTCCGTTCTCCATGGGATAGTTCACCTCCAAAAGTGACCGTAGCGCCGATGCTTCGTCGCCGACCATTAAATCCTGCGAGTCACAGACAAATTAATTAGTAATTCGAGACATACGGCCAACGGTTAGTGTACTCACAGGTAACGTACTTGCAACACCCTGATGCATGAAAAATAGTTAGTAAAAATGTAAGTGATTTAAAAACAAATTTAAGCATGCAGAAAAAAACAACGGTAAAATGCAAACACAAAGCATTCCTATTAAGTAACGTATCACTTACTTCTACATGATAACCCTAGAATTGAAACAGAACGTTACACTTTGATAACCGATTCGCACTTCAATATTAATTAAAGCTAGTCGTACCTTAACTTCGATGTCTCCGATCTTGTTGACGGCACGTATTATCGGCCTGCCGACCATTGACGGGAAGATGTGCGCCGGAAAGTTGCTGCCGGCGTATCCGCATTTTACGAACTGCGTGAGGAGGTTATGTTAGATTTAACTACCCCCCGCTCGCATCAATTAAAAATAACTCACCCCCGTTCCGTTATCGCACACAATTACTTTTCTACCTTGACTATCCATCGTAGATCGCGGAAATCGGACCGTTCTATTTTACTTATGAATCATGGCAAACTTCCTAACCACACCTAAAAACAGAACTCCACTGACGTTTCGGTTGTTTATGGCGTACGATCGATAAAGAAGAGATCTGTAGGCCAATGAATTAACAGGGTGCTTCAAGGGTACACCTTCATCCCGTAGAGACAAGATAGTTAATCCCTAACGAACTACAGGAAGAAAGTTCCAAAAGTATCTAAGTTGTTGGTTTTTCGATCTAAAATTACCCTAAAAACTAATTAGGGAAGCACAAAAATCCTGAAGGGATCAGATAACAACCCTCACATCAATAATAATTGTGGTTATTCAGTGGCGTACGTAGAAATGTATTCGGGGGGGGGGGGGGGGGGGGGGGGGAATAAACAAGTTCGTGGCACATACAGTCACCCAGTGCGTACTAGAAGGGGGAGGGGGTGGGGGTTAAGAAATAGAAATTGGGTTGCAGGTTGCTGATGCTGGTAGTCATTTATCTATTTATTATTGTACAGGCGAAAAAGATTAGATTAGAACGGTATTTTATTTCTTACTGCTGACGGGCCCCTTTATTGCTTTTGCTTTAATTAGTCAACGAAAACTTTGAATAATAGGTATATTTATGGGCAAAAAACCAATTTCGACAAAAAATTCAAAGGGCTGTAACTTTTGATCTAGTAGTCCGATCTTGGAACTGTTTGAAATTATCGATTCTACAGGCCACATTCTATAAGAAAATTTTTTTCCGGGTCGATCTGAGACAATTTTTGCTTCGGGGCTCAAAAAAAGGCAGTTATTACCTTCCTTTTTTACCAAAAATCTACTGCACCAAAATTTCTCGGGAAAACACTTTTTCTTATTAATTTGGGTGGGTAGAATCCAAATCAATTTGTACATTTTCGATCAGACTTCTCAATCAAAAGTTATAAACTAGAAAAAAATTCAAAGGGCTGTAACTTTTGAACTAGTAGCCCAATCTTGGAACTGTTTGAAATTATGGATTCTACAGGCCACATTCTATAAGAAAATATTTTTTTCCGGTCGATCTGAGACAATTTTTTTTCCTAGCCAAAAAAAGGCAGTTATTACCTTCCTTTTTTACCCAAAATCGACTGCACCAAAATTTCTCGGGAAAAAACTTTTTCTTATTAATTTGGGTGCGTAGAATCCAAATCAATTTGTACTTTTTCGATCAGACTTCTCAATCAAAAGTTATAGACTAGAAACAAATTCAAAGGGCTGTAACTTTTGAACTAGTAGCCCAATTTTGGAACTGTTTGAAATTATGGATTCTACAGTACACATTCTATAAGAAAATATTTTTTTCCGGTCGATCTGAGACAATTTTTTTTCTGGGCAAAAAAAAGGCAGTGTATTATTACCTTCCTTTTTTCCCAAAAATCGACTGCACCAAAATTTATCGGGAAAATTTATCGGGAATTAATCTGAAACTGTGAGACAAAGAAAATTGAAATTATAGTGAGACTCGGTTGTGGTAAATACCATTGGAATGCAAAAGAAACGCGCTTATACCATACCATAACCACCATATATATAACCACACATCTATTGCGTCATGTGTTTACAATAAAAAGATTAGGTTAATCCAAAAGTAATTACTTACTTTAAGTTTTTTATTTAATTATTTACTTTTAAGAACATTCACTTATTAAACAGGCTACCTCAAATAATAATAAAAATAAAAAAAATGTGAGCGTTAACGAAGTAATTTTTTTAGGTTAGGATTCCAAATGAATTTACTCTCTCTAGTTATCGATGTAGCAATTATAACATCATGTTGGGGACGTTTAAACGAGGAGGCCGCAATAGAGACAATCAACGAAAGTAAGGGCACTCAATGCTTCCACCAACCCGAAAGCGCTTGTCCGCCCCCTTCCGACACTTGCCACTGTAGACGTATATCGAGTAGGGCTGCCATTTGCTGTAACGTAGACAAGTCGCTGATCACAAAGGGATTGTCGTGCGCCGGTAAGACACGTGGCATGTTCAGCCCTTTTATCTCTCTAACTTGCAGACATTAAGAACGGGAAAGTTATTGAGTTGCACATCAGAAATGCGACTTTAGACGTTCTCAACGTGACATTCTCGACTTGGCGTCAGCTTTTATCGTTGTCCATAACGGACGGTGTAATCAATCGTGTGGTGGGCGAGTTCGGTAAGCACACGACGATCTCGTGCTTGAATCTCTCATCGAACTCCATCGACAAATTCGACGATCGTTCCCTAGTCAACCTATACAATCTGAGCGTCCTCGATTTGTCACACAATAATATGATGGACGTACCGCGACTGAAGAAGGAGGGCATAGTCACTTTGGATATTTCTGGTTAGTAATTTCCCGTTGTGGCCGGGCTGTACTCGATAACTTTTCAGCAAACAAGCAGCTTTTGTGTTCGCATCTGGTCGACGCGCTGAAACGAACCGAACTGCACTTCAACAACGAGAATGATACGTTTTGCATGTCTTCGAATACATTCCAGTGGTTTAATTCGACCGAGCTTGTTCCCTTAAATCAGGTCGTTAGCGTCCACGTGGTGAGTTCGAAAATAAATTGCTACTTGCACTAATCCACTAATTGATGTTTGTACCTATAACCACTGGCACTGTGAGGAAAATTGTCACAAGATTGCGAAATTATAGGATTTTGACCAATAGGGGCATCCCGGCTTCATTTTTTATTTCTGATCTACAATGTACAGGGTGGCCAACTAAGAATAAAAAATAAAGGCTTTTTTAACTGAAAACCCCTTATACAATATTAAAGATTTTCTTAACATTGACGTTAAATTATAAATTTTAATATTTCTTAGAGTTTACGTTTTATGTTTTATGCTATAGCAAGTCTCTGTGTTTTATATTTATATGTATTGTTCTGCTTTTATGACGCGTGTAAACATTACTTTTAATGTACTAGCACAATGAATATATATATTATTATTATATTATTATTATTAAGAATGCGAGGTACTGTATCTGAGAGCCTATCCATCGAAAAGGCTTAAAGTAAAAAAAGTTATTACTAAAACGGCCACAAGAAAAACCGGGCAAATATTTTTAAGTTTCTGAAATGGCCGCTAGGGGGCGTACCGCAATCATCCGCCATTTTTGGGCCAAATTTGCTGTCAACTTTAAAAAATGACAACTAAAAACAGTTGTTATTCTTTTATAACCTAACTTTGCATAGTTCTGTCATGTTTCATAAAAATATATATGAAAGGGCACATATCAATCGATCAATAATAATATTTCGTCTCGGGGGTGTGCAATGAAACACGCACAAAATAAACATTATTCTGACTACTCCCAAGAATGGTTAAAAAATGCCCTGTAAACAATAATGCATGCATATTACAACCTGAAACACAACAACCCGCTATATATTTGATTTCTTAGAAAAAGAAAATTCCAATTTCAAATACTTGACTCTCCAAACAGGTGGAACAATCTCTCTTTCTCCTACCGCCTTCACTATTTAATGTCGTCTGGTAATACAGACCCAATTTTCTGAACGAAACAATTGCGACGCGGGTACCCCTTTAAGCCAATAAGAAACCCGCATTTCTGTCACGTGATCGGCAACGTTGAAATTTTTAGGCCCGAAGAGAACGTTCTTGCTTGATATGGCCCGTTATCGCCAGACATCGTTGTTCAAGTTCACTATTAAGCGGTACATGTGTAAAGTTTCCTATGCTTACTAAATTCGAAAAATTACTTTCAATGTGAAAAAAAATTATATCTCAATAACGAAGCTTTTGCTGACTCAAAAATATACAGTGCTAGTAATGATTTTCAGTTGCGTAAAGATTGCATCATCAATTGCACCTGTGAGCCGTCCCGTTTGGATATCGTTCCCGGAAAACCGCCGACGTTCGCTCTTTTCGTAAACTGCTCCAATTTGAAATTGACTTCGCTGCCGTTAGTGCTACCGCCTCATACGATCGCCTTAAATGTGTCGAACAACAATGTAAGTGCCTTACGTGCTATGATTGTTCTCTTTCACGAGAATTGTGCAGATATCATCCTTGGAGCTGTTGAACGACGAAGTGTCTTATCAGAACTTGCGCGAGCTGTACGCCGACAACAATCAGATCACTTCAATTTTGCCGCTGGAAGGTTCGAAGTTCATGTCCAACTTTAAAGAGCTCAGCCTGAAGAACAACAAGATAAAGATGGTAGGAGGTGTTTTTTAAAAATGTCTACTTAACTATTGAGAAAAAGACAGAGCCTCAAAAACGTTTGTTTCTCTCTACATAGGTGCCATTTCCGCTGCGAAACCAGTCGACGGATGGGCAAGAGGCTGTTAAACCTCATTATTATTAGTACCATTTAAATTTTCAGCACTTCTGGAGATGCGACTGGAACTGTATCAAGATTATGTTGTGGTAGGTAGGTCGAGCTTACAGTTCAGTAACTGTTACTGTTTAGATGGGTATTAAAGAACATACCACACTCGATAAAGAATGCCTAGGTTGGCACTGCTCACAGAGGCTTCGTTTTGAACGCAATAATCCCACTTAATACAATGTCAAATGTGTACCAAGTAAATGTTGCACTTTTCGCTAACTTGAAGAAAGTACAAAAAAATAAAATATTTGGCGGTGACCTTGTAAAATATGTCAAGGTGACTTTCAAAGGGCACTTGCTACACGGCTGTGACATTGTAAACTTGGTCAAGGTGACGCTCAAGGGCACTCGCCTGTTTCCCCAAGCGCTCTTGGTTTTGGCCTTGAAATCAGATACAAACAACCTTATTTTTGTGTCGTCACGTTTAATATTCAAGGTTATTGAAGTTCAATGACGTTTTTGCAATGTCATTCCATTTTCAAGGTCATCAGAGGTCAATGTCCGTTTTTTTGCGGTATTATATTTTTTTCAAGGTTATAAAAGGTTAGTAACCTAATTTTTGCGATCTCATTCTATTGTCAAGGTTACCGGAAGTCAATTACGCCAATTTTCGAGGTGTCATGTTTCATTTTCAAGGCTATCAAACTTGAATGGTCTCGTTTTTTGTGATGACATATCATATTTCATTCTGTTTTGTTCTATTTCATTTTTAAGGTACCTTTAATGGTTATCGAAGGTCAATGTATTTTATTTTCAAGGTCATTAAATGTCAAAGGTCCCATTTTTCTGCTATTATGTTTTAATTTGTAGAATATCAAAGGTGAACGATCCAATTTTTGTAGTCTCATATTCTATTTTCAAGGTCACCAGATGTCAATTTACTCCAATTTTTGTTGTCATGTTTCATTCTCATGCCTTTTAAAGGTCAAAGACCTCATTTTTTGTGATTGCATACTTCGTTCTGAAGGTTATCAAAGGTTACTGACCCCATGTTGTGTCCTATTTCATTTTCAAGGTCAGTAGAGGTCAATGATCGCATTTTTTGCGGTGTCATTTCATTTCCAAGATCATCCCATTTTTTCCTGTCATTTAATTTTGAAGTTAATCAAAGGTCAATGACTCCATGTTCAGCTTATATCATTTTCAAGGTCATTAAAAGTCACCGGTTCCATGTTTGGTAAAATTTTATTTTGAAGGTGTCATCTTTCATTTTCAATGTCAGCATAGGTCATTGAGCGTATTTGTAATTATAAAATTGGCATCGCCGCGCGGGATTGCAGACGGACTATGGGAAGATGGGAAAATGGCCTTGTCAATTTAAGCTTACAGATTATTTGTTTTTGACTATGCTCCCGCGTAGATTGGTAACGGAACACCGATTTTTCTACAGTTCCTCCCTTTACAGTTACCCCCCTATCTGCTGTCAAACATCTTCGATAGAAATTACAAGTACCGCACAGTAAATCTTGGATTAAACAAATTGCAGTGCGACTGTACTACCGCAAAGGTGCTGAAGGTAAACTCCGCGCGCATCTCTCTTCCTAGGTTAATCGGAACATGTCGTAGGAGTGGCTGCCGCTGAAGTCGAAGCACGTGCCCGATTTCGACGAAATCTACTGTGAGAATATGGAGTCGAGAGTGCTCGATCTGGATCCGACGATACTATGTAAAGGTCCGCAGGACTGGACCGACTATATATACTTCATTATAACCGCCGAGGTGTTGCTGCTCGTGTTTCTTATCGCGAAGGTGTCGTACGACTATTGGGTGTTCAAAACCGCCGGATATCTACCATGGCCCGCCAGCCGTATGCCGAAGTTGCCCTGCGACTGGCTATGCGAATAATGGAGCGTCTTTAAGAAGGCTGTATCAAAGGTTGTGAATTTTCCGTTATAGAATTTAATTGGTTGTGATTTACTTACAAAATAAGCTTAAAGTGCAATTAGTAATTAATTACTAACACCTACGTCTATAGTTCAATGGGAAATGTGATAGAATTGCTCTTACTAATTTCAATTTAGTTTACGTTCTCGAGATTCAATCAGAAACCTAAATCACAATGCTTACTTGTACGTGGAATTGAAGACGACAATCCTCGCAGATTACTGATTTACGTATGTACCTACATTTGATAATGCTCCTATTTAATAAATGTGCCTTGTAATCTATGTACAAATATTTATATACGATATTGCATGTATATTTTTATGTACCTATATATTTGTGCTTAGTATTTTATAATCCTAATAAAAACTGGCAAATTTACTGATCTTTTTAGTTAAAGTGCACGTGATGCTACAAGTTTCTGGTTGTGTATTGTAGTAAATGATTTTAAATCACAATAAACGTATTTCACAAAATATAGGTTCTTGATGCAGAGTTGTGCCTTATTTAAAAAATAAAAACAAAAATCTTTAGTGAAAAGCTTATGTTTATATTGCGACACGTCAAATTTGACAACTGTTTGCTAGCGTTTTTATTATTTTATCGCGTTTTGCTACATTATCACTTCATGTTCATAACGAGCAATTATATTTGCAAAACTTCCGTAAGTCTTACTGCGATTTTGTGCGCCAAAAGTTGTATAACCCAAAAATGCCATCGGGTTTACCAAGAAAAAGTAAGCAACTTATTGCTACTCTTACATTACCCGATAAAAAATCCGTTAGTTTCATAACGAACAATTATCGCAGCATAACTTCCGTAAGTCTTACTGCGATATTCTGTGCCAAAAGTCGTATAATCCAAAAATGCCATCGGGTTTACCAAGATAAAGTAAGCAACTTATTGCTAGTCTTACATTACCCGATAAGAAATCCGTTAGTTTAATAACGGAACAATTATATTTGCAAAACTTCCGTAAGTCTTACTGCGATATTGTGCGCCAAAAGTTGTATAACCCAAAAATGCCATCGGGTTTACCAAGAAAAGGTAAGCAACTTATTTCCAAACTTACATTACCCGATAAGAAATCCGTTAGTTTCATAACGAACAATTATAGTAGCAAAATTATCGCAGCATAAGCGAGCGAAATCCAGGTCCATAATATCAAATGACAAAAAAAAATTGTCACAAGGCAGAGATGTTAGCCATCATATGACCTCTGCATAGGAGAACTCCGTAGAGGTTACCGTAATAAGTGTGTGTGAGGGTGAGGGTGCGTGGGGGTGTGTGTCCACCAAATCCATTCTCAGCGTCCATGTACGCCTTTCCCACCTCTTACAATCAAATACTCCATGTCCTGGAGTGTATGTATGCCCGAGGTCCGCAAAGGTGTCGTCCCGTCGCCTTTTGAATCTGTATGTCGGTCGTGGCTAAAATTCAAAAGTTATTACGAAAAAAGGGACGTACTTCGACATCTCAACTAAACTGTAAAAACTATAACTTGAAAGAAGTGTATTGATTACCAAGGAGATGGTCCACTTGTACATATTATATTTAAACTAATTAATAAAAAACCGGGGCATTGAACTACAATTGCTCTACAGATTTTGCAAGACTCCGTCCATCTTGAAGTGCCATTTAGGGAAAACTAAGTCCAAGGAGGCTATATTAATCGCAAAAATTCAAAAGCAATTTCAAATGAAGTTACGTACGTGGCGACATCATTTTTATTCGAAGATGGTCTATAACTTTTGATTGAGTAGACTAATCGAAAAAGTACGAATTGTTTTGGATTCTACGCACCAAAATGAATAAGAAAAGTGTTTTCCCGAAAAATTTTGGTGCAGTCGATTTTTGGTAAAAAAGGAAGGTAATACACTGCCTTTTTTGAGCCCCGAAAAAAAAATTGTCTCAGATCGATCCGAAAAAAATTTTCTTATAGAATGTGGCCTGTAGAATCCATAATTTCAAACAGTTCCAAGATTGGGCTACTAGTTCAAAAGTTACAGCCCTTTGAATTTTTTTTCGAAAATGGTCTATAACTTTTGATTGAGAAGTCTAATCGAAAAAGTACGAATTGTTTTGGGTTCTACGCACCAAAATTAATAAGAAAAAGTGTTTTCCCGAGAAATTTTGGTGCAGTCGATTTTTGGTAAAAGGAAATACTATGCGAAGTATTCGAATACTTTACGAAGTTTCCAAATATTTTGCGAAGTATTCTCTCTAACTTTTCTTCTGTTTCAGTATGTGGGTCTGTTTGTGACTTTTACCTGAATACTGCTTGTCCATTTTGATGTTCTTTAGGTAGGTAGATGTGTTTTTATACTAAATTGATTTATTTTGTTTTACATCTATTTATTATGTCATTTGTATCATTTACATCTAGTTTTATTAATTTGTTTAAGGGCATTTGACTCGATTTCCAGATTTTCATTGTGATTTGAGATATTTCTTTTTATATTTTGTTGTCATCTTGTGTATTATGCTAGATTTGTTTTTTCCTGGTTTTTCAGTGTGGATCTTCTCTCCCTCGTCCGTATTAAATTTCATTTTTTTATTCTTTTCAGACGAATCAAATTCTCATCGAAAGTCCGACTTTGGAAGGCCCAAGGCTTGTTTGCGGGACCCTGTATATACCTGTCTGAAGTTGCACCATTTAGTCTGTGGTTTTTTGTTATTGTTTACATAACCTTAAAACTTAAAAGAAGAAAGTTTCTGAGTTTGTGTCCAAGAATGGCATCAAATCTAGTAAAAGAATCATATAGTGTCAATAAACAACAATACGTTAGTTATCACATACAAATTGCATCAGCCTTTCAAACAGATTGCGAGCGGTTACTTGTTACTTTCGAATCGGAAGTTGATCTTTCCTTCAAGATGTTTGCCTCGGTGTGGAGAGAAATGCATTTCTCGTCCATCTTCAAGTAGGCCGTAAGTTTCCGTAAACAATTTCAAGCCAATTCATTGCAGCGACATAGAATTGGTGGAGGAACTAAGATTCTTTATCGAATCGTGCTTCACCACAATCCAAAAGTATCTGGTCTTTTGCGAGAGGATCGGCGTGAAAGTTGGCGCGTTTTACATGCTGTACTGTTTGTACTGGAGGCAGCCGTCGAAGTAATGTGAAACGGTTACGAAGTGTGTTTGTTAAGTCGTCTGTTTCAGGAATAAGATTAGGATCCGATGTACTGCCGAAGTGTTTAGGCATATTTCGAACCTCGTGGATCGAATGCAGGAGGAGGGCGCCTACGACGTACCGTACCTCTTCCAGCAGCTCAAATTCAACGACGCCTTCAAATTGGTAATTTTTCCCAACGTTTACGCTCTCGAGGGAAGGTTCATGTGGCAAGAGAAGGAGTTGCAGAACGACATATTTAAAGAAATCAAACGGGGCGATCCGCTACTTCAGACCGAAACGGTCTTACATTCCCAGGAATTTTACGGTTTAAATAACATTTGCACCGTGGCCAGTGATTACGTCGAGGGGTTGAGGAAGTACGGGAGTATGTATAGGATGCGGTGTATTGTCTCTAGAGAAATTGTTCGCGTTAGTTTCAGAGAAAGTATGCGAGGCGGTCACCAATTTACCTGGAGAACTTGAAGCTATACTTAATCAAATGGAGAGCTGTGTGGAGGGAAGCGAATCGAATGTAACGGAAAGCAAGGCTAAGCAATTGAAAGGAAAGGCTTTCACCTCTAAAGTGTCTTGTTTTAAAAGTTAATCTAAATTTCTTAGAAAATAAATGTTTCATAGCACCAAGTTGTCATCAGAAATTTTGTAAAACCGTCCCGTATACCCGATTCCAAATCATAGACATATTATGCTAATACTCATATGTCTATGTTCCAAATATCAGTGTGACCTCTGGTGGCAGAACATAACTACAGTTGGGCGAAGACCGCCATTTTGATAGCGTTTCTTTATTTACAATTGTGTAGTGTTTACTGCTGTAAAAGTAAATGTAAAGTATAAGAAAAGCATAATCGACGTAAGGGAATGTCGGCGAGTTGTACGAGTGCGCTTTATCTTTGATCTTTATTTGTATTTAGAAAATTAAGTTAATTGCGTGTTTAAGCTACCTAATTCAAGACTACCTCGAGCCTTTCAGGTAGGATGGGTTATATTTTCAAGTCTCAAAAATGGCATGTGGGCGTAACATTAATTCGCGGTTGAGCCTTGAAAGCCAAACGTTACAATTGTTACGTGCGAGCTGCGGCAATTTTAGATCGTGGAATGTTTATATTAAAGTGGAAGTGAAACGAGTTCATGTCATAAAAAGATACGAAAGAATTATTAACCGCGGTATTCTAGGTACGTGGAATGTTACTGCAAAGGTAAAAATAGTTAACGGCACATCTCGCGGTACATGCTAAAAACAAAGTGGTGCAACTTCATTGCGTGAAACAGATGGTAGGACGGCTGATTTAATTTTCAACCGTGAATATTGCGAAGCATTACTATTTTTTTCCTTTCGGTGCTTTATTGGATTACGGTTTCGCGATTAAATAAATTGTTACTACGAAAGCGTTGGGGTCCAAGGTGCAAAACATCCCGTTGCGCCAGATTTGTAGTAGCCAGTAACCCAAAATGTGAAGTGCGAACAAAATTATGAACAAAACGGCTACTGGTAAATAGTTAAAGACAATTAATTCAAGCTTTTTGTTTGATGTTAATACTCGTTACGTTAAGTTAAACTGTTACAAAGGTACATTTTTAATATTTACACGATACTGTGGAACATCCGTAATTTATTACTGTGAAAATCTAATTAAAGCTAAGCCTGAAGCACGGTTTGCTTCTGAATCAAATTGTGTCAACCATCTTTTGAAACTAATTTCCAATAGGTCAACTCGTAAAACCAAGAGGTCCTATGGCGTTCCACTATCAAATTTTCCAAATTGCTGCTGCCTTCCAAAGGAGAAAGCCAACTGAAGATTGGAGAAAATGTTAACCCATCGATAAAAGCAAGTCCTTTTTTTATAGTAAAATTTGTACCAGTGCCGTAGAGAATAAAATTCATTTTCTATGAGGGGTTTCTAACCCTTGTAAATGCCACTAGCTGGTTACACTATTAATGACAAGATGTGGTTTTTCATATTAGGTATTGTACTTACGGACTGTACAAATTAAAAGCATATATATAAGCTGTCAATTGTTGAAAGCAGGTTTTGTTTTCTTAATTGTCGTTCCGGACAGACAGATTGATAGGGACACAAGGTGTGATTATAATAAAAGACAAATTTCCAAACCAGCCTTTTTATTTGCTGCAAATTACAACTGTGTTAATACCTACGTAATATGTAGATCAGTATAACCAATTAACGACACCATCTGTAAATAATTGTAAAATTAAATGAGGGAATCTCAATGCAAGTATGCTTAATGCTTAGTGTTAAGCCTAAATCGTTAGAAAAATAGAGTGAACTGAGAGAGATGCCAATAATGTCCTATTATTACGCGCTATTATATTTCTGACAATTAACTAGAAGTGATTAGCTTCCGTAATTAGCGATACGGACGTATAATAGTTCGTATCTTAGTATTACTATACTATCAACATACCTGTGGTAACTGCTCTGAATAGGGCGATAAATCCGGCACCACCGCTATTTACCGTTGTTGTATATTTCACGGCCAGTCGATTGTTCTCCGAAACAATGACAGCTGGTTCGTCCTAAGTATCAAAAGGTCGTAAAAGAACTCTCGAATTTATATTGAAAAGCAGTAAACGAGATCGAGTAGTGTACACTAGCGCCATCTGTCATTCGCCCTCGCCCGGTTACTGCTTTTACTATGAAAATGAACTGTTACCTTATCTGCATAGTTGAAGACTGTACTTTCCGACCCGTCCTTGTTATATGTTATCACTTGTAAACTGGCCCCGTTAATATCAAACGCTAGAAAAGGACAAAATCTTGTTAGGGCTCCTCCTTTGGATTACACTTACTGGAAAATCTAAGGGCAGCCCGCCTGGCTTGCGGCACCCTTATCTCCCAAACGCACGTTTTTCTCTCCCTATATTCATGCGGGTACATTGGGCTTGTGAACGTACCGGCATAGTTGTAGAATGTACCACCGCATCCCCTACCTGCAATTTTGATATCGGTTCAGTTCAACATTTGCACGCGTTGGTATCGCTCACCGTTCGGCGACGAGGTGTAAACCGCATCAAACTTGTAAGGATCGGCCAGCGAGACGTTTATCCACAGCTTGTTCCCGGTGGAAAATATTGGATCTGGCGTTACGTAGCCGCACAGCCTTGCCAATTTCGGGGACGATGCGGAATCGCCGTCAGTTACCTGTTGAGGTTACGGTTATTAGCAAGAACCACACAAGACAGCAGCTTATTGGACTGCTTGCAGCATGGAGACTGCGCGAAGACTGTATGCACGCAAGGTGATACCCAGTCGATTGAAAAAATTGTTACAATTTTCGAAGGATTGGCAGTAGGAGAACGCAATGAGACTTTTTTTTTACTTTTTTTCCTCGGAGCAGAATTTCAAGAGTACATAAAAGAGGAGTATTCCGCAACGAGTAGAGTTGTTATTAGATCCGAACACGTCACTTACGTCCAAAAAGGTATGTTCGCACCCTACGGTTTCTTCCAAAAAGAACAATGATATCGTGTTATTTTCAGGCACTGAGACAGTTCGCCATTACGTTTTCAACCTTTAACCGTCCTTGAATTGAGGTATAGTTTCTGTTGCAACCTGAAATTAAAATAGTGTGGAATTGTGGAAGCTTTCCCACATGATATTGTGGGTGCCCAAACGGATATTTGCACAGTTTATTAACGGGTAACCTGAAAATGCGTGATAGTGTGGAATTGTGGAAACTTTCCCACATGACATTGTGAGTGCCCAAACGGATATTTGCACAATTTGTTAACGGGTAACCTAAAAATGTGTGATAGTGTGGAATTGTGGAAGCTTTCCCACATGACATTGTGGGTGCCCAAACGGATATTTGCACAATTTGTTAACGGGTAACCTAAAAATGTGCGATAGTGTGGAATTGTGGAAGCTTTCCCACATGACATTGTGGGTGCCCAAACGGATATTTGCACAATTTGTTAACGGGTAACCTGAAAATGTGTGATAGTGTGGAATTGTGGAAGTTTTCCCACATGACATTGTGGGTGCCCAAACGGATATTTGCACAATTTGTTAACGGGTAACCTAAAAATGTGTGCTAGTGTGGCAGTAGGAGAACGCAATGAGACTTTTTTTTACTTTTTCCTCGGAGCAGAATTTCAAGAGTACATAAAAGAGGAGTATTCCGCAACGAGTAGAGTTGTTATTAGATCCGAACACGTCACTTACGTCCAAAAAGGTATGTTCGCACCCTACGGTTTCTTCCAAAAAGAATTCCAAAAAGAACAATGATATCGTGTTATTTTCAGGCACGGTGATTGTAATCAGACAGTTCGCCATTACGTTTTCAACCTTTAACCGTCCTTGAATTGAGGTAAAGTTTCTGTTGCAACCTGAAATAAAAAATCAGTAACCGCTTTTGCGCCCCGGGTCGGAAACCTGTCAGACGATATTCCATCCTGAATCCCCTGCCATGTGGATTATTAAACCCGCTGAGGAAAGATAGCACAACCTCATTTTCTCCAGAGTAGTAGTCGAATGCGTGAGTCGTTTTTCCACAGTACTCGTGAACTCCGACCGGTAGAGGCAAAGGCTGCGAAAAATGTTTTATACCTTCCGTAGGAGGATAATGCATTTCGTTAACTTACACCGTCATTGGGCGTGCTGGTTTGTCCTGTAAATATTGCAGACGTTCCCAAACCCTCTGTGATAACGCTGTAACTCTAGCAAACAACAAAATTAGATCTCGCTTAGAGTACCTACATCTAGTACCTTATCTGCGATTTGAACCTTATCCTTCGTGCAACCTCCGCTCCCGCTTGCATCCTCCAAATCGAAGTCAACGAAGTGTAGATCGAATCTGTCCCAAACGTTGTCACTTTGCAAACGCCATCTGCATAGCAAGTTGTTGGGGTAGGGACTTGGATAACCTGGAGAGGTCAGCACTTGCTTTTGGTCCGTTACGTTTAATAGAGAAGGTCCACAGAGCGCTAGTGACAAACTGCCGTGAGAAAATGAAAGGTGGGTACAAAAAAGCGCTTACAAAGCTGGCTCGTGACAGTGACTTCAAACGCGCGACTTTTGGTATCTCCCAAAGTGTACAACCTTAACCATGCGATATGGCCGCTCGTTACCACTTCCGGTTTATTTGTATTGTCGCAAATTTTCTCGATCACCTCCGAGATTGGCCCACCATCCCTTACCTACGAATGCGGAGTTTATCAACGTGCAGCACACTTAAACGCTCACCTCGACGATATTGCAGCTGCAATTATTGAAACCGATGGTTTGATTCGTCGAGCACGGCTCGAGGTTCAGTTCGGTAAACGCGAGCTTGAGGATGTGGTCTCTCTCGGCCATTATTTCCCAATGGCAGTCTAGGTTGCCCAGTCCGTGTGGAGCTTTTATAACTGAACTGTCGGCGACCTTTATTTGACCGCCGCAACCTGAACGGGGACCTAAAAAGGTTTGGTCAGTTTTCCAACAACCTAATGGACCCGCGACTATCTACACTATTGGATACGATTCATTGTTTAAATAATTACCATAGTTAAAATACACAACCGCCTTAAATCCACCGTAATTGTTTGAAAAGTCCGTCTTAAAATGCACCACCACCTTACTTCCGACCGATTTAATCACCGGCAGTTGTGCGGTAAGATTGCCACAGAGTAACGCTAATCTCGAAGATTCGTTTGCAGCGCTACCATCAAACACCTCCAGGAAATCGAAGCTGCATTCCTGATTGTGTTCTAGGTCAAACTTCAGAAATCTGTAACGGTAACCTTATTACACATTCAGCATGCTATTATCAAAGGTTTTCACCTTAATACCACATGCTTGTCTTCAGGTGCACTAATATTCCAGTAGCAGTCCATTGATATACTGTAGGGATCCTCATCGTTGCTAAATGTTGTGTGTGACGATATAATCGTGGGTTCTCTGATGATTCCACCACAATCTGGAAAATTGGGTAAAGACCTCGAGTTCCACGACCAAAGTGCAAGTGCACGTACCGTCTCTTTTGTATACAAATTTGAAGCCGCGCCTGGTGACCCATTCGTCTGTCCTAAACGTGATCACAACTTTTTCACTGGCACGCACTGGATCCGGCTTTTTTGTACCACAATGTACTGTCTCCTCGTAAGCGGCGGCAATAGTAACGTTATCCGATTTACAATAATACCCTACAATTAAAAATTATTATCTCTCCTGCCTCGAAGCACAGCTCACCTTCCAAGGCGAAATCTTGGAAATTAATAATCACGTACGAATCCGGCGCGGTGATGTTATAGACGCACAATAGACTGTCGTTGTAATCGTTGGGATAGCCAGGGCTCACTATGTACCTTTCTTTGCTATCCGCTTCGAAAGTTCCGCCACAGTGCATTGTCCATCGAGCCTAGAAGCACCTATGCACTAATGTGTCGAGACAACACGCGAATTACCTTGAAACCAGTAGCGGTCAGTTTATCGTTGCTTCTAAATAGAATCTTTAACTTGTTAGAAGTTGAATTGTAACTTTCGGGGGCAACCCTTCCACACTTTTTGCCTAGCGATTCCCATACGCCATGGTTATAGTTGAAAACCTACAACGATACATTTATGCAACCACTTTGCCCGCCGCTCCACAGAAATGTAGCCACAGAATCATTTATGACAGTATGCGCCATTTAGGCCTACATGCGGTTGTGGATTATCAAAGGGACATTTGGAGAATTTAGTATTAGATGTTGCGGAAAGGCTCTATTCTAAATTGGGCCGTGACGACGGTACACACAAGTTTTAAGCTAATTGGAAAGACGTTCTTAGCTTCCGATTGCAGCAGGAGATTTTCCGCAGAAATGTCATGCCCCAACGAGCTCGTAACTTATTACGTTACACTACTGCATAGTAAAATTAATTTGTGGGTGCCCAAACGGATATTTGCACAGTTTGTTAACGGGTAACCTAAAAATGTGTGATAGTGTGGAAGCTTTCCCATGATATTGTGGGTGCCAAAACGGATATTTGTACAGTTTGTTAACGGGTAATCTGAAAATGTGTGAGAGTGTGGAATTGTGGAGGCTTTAATAATAATAATAATAATAACACACAAACACAAAGACAGGTCCACCCAATAAAGTTACACGTCCTAGCACAGTTAAAAAACACAAAACTCCATCCTCACCGAAGAACACCACGTTATCACAACCCACTTGTATTCAACCCAAACGCAAAGCCAAAGAAACACTTACACAATAAACTCCATTTAATAAAATTACAGGAATTATTATAATGATTTTTGTTTTGTTTTGTTTTCCTCTTTCCTGATAGCGTTGGCTTATTGTGCCCATGTGTGAAGGACCCTACATAACTTCACCAGACACAGACACAGACACTGATCGTTACTTGATTTTAATCCGTGCGATTAGTTAACCAGGCTAGACCTGAGTTCTCACAAGAAACACCGACCATAATAATAATAATATATTTGACGGACAGTATCCATTATTTTCCCACATGATATTGTGGGTGCCCAAACCGATATTTGCACAGTTTGTTAACGGGTAACCTGAAAATGTGTGATAGTGTGGAATTGTGGAAGCTTTCCCACATGACATTGTGGGTGCCCAAACGGATATTTGCACAGTTTGTTAACGGCATAGAGTAAATAATATAAAGAGGTTCCATGCTGTATAAATTTGTGGCAGTGAGAGACTATCCCTGAACATAGATGGCGAAAAGCAAATGCCGACGCTCCCTCTGAATTCAAGAATAGTGTACTAAATTATTACTAACACTGCTTGTTAATGTTGTTATCTCAGCTCGCTGTGCGTTAATAAGTGGAGAATGGTGTGTAATCTACATAATCATAAACGTCCGACTTCAAATTCTATTAAGATAAAAGTGAAAATGGCCTTGTAATGTGATCGTCATCTACGCCTACGTAGATTTTTGCTTTATCTTCAAGTCATAAAAGTAATTCAATCTTCGTAAAGTAAGAAGTAGGTCAGCGAAGAGAGAATTTTCCTGATTTTTCTGTGCGTAACTGCCCAGTGCCGAATCAGTTCCGATGTAGTATTTTTTGAATGCGTTTCTAGTCTATAACTTTTGATTGAGAAGTCTGATCGAAAAAGCACGAATTGTTTTGGATTCTACGCCCCAAAATTAATAAGAAAAAGTCTTTTCCCGAGAAATTTTGGTGCAGTCGATTTTTGGCAAAAAAAGGTTATACACTGCCTTTTTTTGCCCCGAAAAGAAATATTGTATATAATATACATATCTTTATATACAATGGTAGTATGGATGGAATTGATCTTTTCTCTCACAAATAAACTATACTTACAGCACTACCACATTAGTGAATTGCGCAAAAGGACCTTGTTTGCGTAAATTCCACACAAAATTGCTAAAGCAGTGTTAAAACGGTCTACGTGTACCGCTAATCCAACAAAAAACGTTAGAAATTATACGCATAATCAGTTATATTTTCTCACTGTACCTATTTAATTTTCATTGCTAGCTAAATTCAAATAAAGTTTGTAATTGGGTAGAGGTAAGGCGTTAAAATAATAAAATAAATAGTTCTATGGCCTGAAAGAATTAAAAGACTCCTTGCATAGGAAGCATAATATCACATTCGGGTGATTAAATATAATGCTGACAGTATCATGGTCCGTGTCTGGTGCAAAGTAATGACGTAATTCAAATCTCAACTTTGTTGTCAGTGTATTTAAATAGGTAAAATACAGGTTACATGCTGCTCGGCGAAACAACAGCACAAGATAGCAACACTTCCTTACAAGATTTTCTACTGCAACAATATCCTATCCCATGACACCTCTTTATATTATTTACTCTATGTTAACGGGTAACCTGAAAATGTGTGATAGTGTGGAATTGTGGAAGCTTTCCCACATGACATTCTGGGTGCCCAAACGGATATTTGCACAGTTTGTTAACGGGTAACTGTGTGACTCCTAAAAGGGGACGTACCTCGACAAAATCATTACTGCACCCGTTACTCTCCTCAATGTAGAACCTATCAATGAAATCCAAGGTGATGGAATATCCCGGATCGGCTATGACCTCCCATTCACATTCGGCGTTGTTCGGATAGTCTTTCGGATAGGCGAGCGATTCGATTATTCGGGTATGATCATGAAAGACGCCTCCGCACCCTAAAAATGTTATCATCTCCGTTGAACTGCAGCGTGCTGGTGGTTTTACCTCCGATACTTGGCTGGTAGCGCATCTTGAAGCCAGTGCCCGCGCTTCTGTCGTCCCAGTGGTATTCCACGAGCAACGTGTTGCCCTGCGTGGAAAAGGTTGTAGGTTTGTTGTTTTTACAAAAGTGGCCAATTTTTGGGCTGGTAGAGGATTCTCCGTTGTACAAGAGGAGGTAATTGTAGTCGCAGTTTGCATCGAAATCGACATTTTCAAACTGAATGTTGATCTGTTGATTGACCGGCAGTTTTAAAAGCCACGCGCATTCGACGGATGCGCGTGGTTTTCCTGGGTAACCGGGACTGGTTATCACTCCCTCCTGGTTGTTCAATACTCCGCCACAGGCGTGCGTCTTGTAGCTTACAGTGTATTGCAACACGCTTTTGCTTTTGGTTTGGTAAGCCTGCGATGGAACCATTGGATGTTATCGGAGCAGGGCGCAAGTGTTGTACTTACGATTAGCTTTGTAATACCATGCGGGGATCTCACCACTAGGGGTTGCTGGGTCGATCTACACACTTTCGCCAGCTCATTCTCCTCGTTATCTGAAAACTTTGCAATTAGCTGGCACTTACAAACTTGGCTGACAGACCTGATGTAATTATAACTGCAGCCGCCGGATATTTGCAACTTTGCGATTCCGATTGTTCACTTATCATTACACTTAGAGATACCGCGAAAGTTTGCCAGGAACTCGTAGAAACATGCTTCCATTTGCAGTAATACGTTGACGCATTTACGGTTTTCAAAACACCTTGGCTGGCTTTAAAATTGCCGATACAGACTGCAAGAAAGTTAGAGTAAATTTACCTAAGCTGCGCGTCTACTCACGTGTGGGCTCATATGAGGAGTAATGAGCTGTGAAACCTCGGCTGGTCGATGCCCTACTGGTCCAATACAATACGTGCAAGATATTTCCACTAGATCGAATGGGGACCACGGTATTATTTTTGATCAACCTGATAAACGAAGTATACTCCTCGTCGTTGTAGAAAGAAACCCCTTGACCAAACATCCCACCACCATCAAAGTCCAAATCGTCAAACTCAAATAGAACCCTTCTATCTTCCGGGACGGTTATTGTCCACTCGCATTCGATCGAATTTAAAGTCGACTTGGGGTAGCCGAGCGTCGTGATGACTCCCATCTCCGTATTGAGTTTTCCGCCACAAACTAAGATATCGTTAGCAGCTCCACCTACGCTGGGAGACTTACCTTCCTGGCTTGAGTTGAATTCTAAATAAAAACCGCGCGCGGCCCTTTCTACACTGCCCGTGACGAAGTGGACTATGACCTCGTTACTGGAAGAACGTATTTCATTCGGGCTCGAATTCCCACAGACGACCCCAATTGTTGTAACTATAAATGACATTAGATACCATCAGAAAGAAATGGACCAAGAGGAATGAAAAAACTATTAAAACCTTATGGGCATAAGTTGAATTTTAGAGAAAGATTCAGGATGGGCGCGTGCAGTACAGTAAATTAGATTGGTTCTAACCTCGAGCAGATTTGGATACTAACTGGTATTATTGAACTTAAAATTTTCCTCCAGAGATACGTGATCGCCCGACAAACAGCCCTCTTCACCTCCTGGTACATCTAGCACTTTGAAGTGAACAATTACACTATGATCTAGCGGTGCGATTAAGTGCCAAATGCAATTTGCATTGATCGGGTACATGGACTTGACGTCGAAATGTGGCGAACGAATCTCCCCCGCCGCCGATCTAACTATTCCGCCGCAACTGGCTGCAGAGCAACCGTTAATTAGATTTGAAACATTACAGAACGCACTCACCGATTGAAACTTCCGCTTTGAAACCGTTGCGCGGATCCTTCATCGCCGTGAAGAATCGCACGTGGATCATGTCGTCGCTGGAGAACGTCGAATTGGGAATGTTGCCGCAGAATTGAGCCACTAACGGTGAAAATTTGGAACCTCCGTCCCTAACTTCGACCGCCGCCTTCGTACAGCTAGAGTTCGAGAGGTTAGGATCCCGCGGATAGATTACGCTACTTACTCCTGGCTGAGGGTGAGATCGAACCTCTCGACGAAATCCACTCTAAGCGACTCCCCTTGCGGCGCTATAATGATCCAGAAGCACTCGGAGAATGATGGCGGAATGTTGGGGTAGTTGGGGGACGAGATCGTGGTGGTGTTGTAATATTTGGAGAGAGCTATTGTTCCGCCGCAGTTATTCGACGCTTCCTTGTATAATAGTTTAAAGCCCTAAAGAGAAGGTGAAGTAGTGGTAGACATGAGGAACGCTTACCTGTCCGGGATATCCCAGGTATTTCACATATAGCTGGTTTCCGGTCGTGTTGAGTATTCCTGGGTTGGTGTCATCGCAGTATTTCCCAATGCCCAAGTTTGGTGACTCGGGGTAATGCCCGTTCTTGAGCTTAAAACAAAGCAGTCATCAAACGCTCATTTTGATCTGCCGAAAATGGGGTAGTTCTGATTTTTGGTCTTGATGGCCCACGGTGCACCTCATAATAATAGAAAAACCTCAACATTTTGTAACTTTTGCTCGTTTTCCTCATCACACCTGATTTGAAGAAAATATGACTGTATCAAAAGTACTTAAATAATGATCCGGACAGAGAGCAATTTTGAAATAGAAAAAGAGAAACAGAGGATAGGCGTACAGCCATTTTGATCTCTAAGTGTGCAGTCTCGTTAATTTGCACAGGGAACCCCCATTTTCTTAAGGTGCTATAAGGGATGTTATATGATTGATTACCAGGAGGTAGCCTCCGCAAGGCTCATGAGTGGACGCCCCTTGTAGATTGAGTTCCAGAAACTGTACATGGATCGTCTTACCAGGTTGTACGGAAACGTTCCACTCGCACTAAAATGACACTTGTAGTAAATTTTGTTGGTATCGTGCGCACTTACTGTGACAAAATAGGTGAACTCTGTCGTGTTAATTGATATAACTCCGTTAGGCCCACTCAGTGATGAACCGCACACTGTGTGATGTTAGTGATTATTTTACTCTTAGTGCGCATGCGTAACTTACAGTTTCGAATACGAGCATCAAAACCCGTCCCATTGACCGAGCTATCGGATACGAACTGCACTTTTACCAGGCCACCTCCATGAATAGCCTTGGCACTATCGTTGAGGTTACAAACAGTTCCCACCAAGTCCCATTCGTCACTGTCCATGGCTTTGTTATATATATTTATATGATCGGCATAGCAGCTGTCTTGAGTAACCTCCAGGTCTATCCTTACAAAGTTAACAGCTATATGGTATCCTGGAGACGATGAAAATATCCACTCGCAGTTCAAATCGACATTGTATCCGTTCGGATAGCCCGGCGATTTGAGGTGGTAAAGTCTTCTCGACGTCATATCTATAACCCCATCGTAGCCGCAACCTTCAACTAAAAAAATCGTTTAGCTCGAGAGCACGCGCAAATTGCCGAAACTCACCGATCTCCTTTGTACTTGCAGGCTCCTTGATCGGTAGGTCAACCTCCAACCAGTCGAGCAGGAATCTCGATCCGTGCCGAAGCGATTCGAACCTCATTTTAATAAACACGACGTTCGAGGTTGACTGAATCGACTCGGGAAGGCTTATCCCGCACAGGGTTTTGAGTGAGCGCGCTTCATCATTATATCCGTCATATACCTGAAGATGCGTTTAGTTTTTGAAAAAAAAAATTCATCGTTTTCATGACAGAAGAGTGCATTACTCCCCAAAATGTTTTAGTTCGAGAGCGGTCGATTGTGCGTAAATAATAGTTTTAACGCATCTACATTATTGTCGTCGGCTTACCTACTTTTGAGTGACCGTCATTTGAACTGGCAATCAAAGGTGCCATTCATTATACGAGACCTAGGAATTTGTATCGATTTTCATTTTCAAGAATTGAATCAATCTGTACTCAATCAGTATTTTGAGATTGAACGCCATTAGGATTGCAGTATACGCTGTCTCGAACCGTCGTAGCGAGCAGGCGGGTTTTTCCTGCTAGCGTTTTACTAAAAAATGTCACTTGCACATGAAATCGAGTGTGTCTCGCGGTCTTTGGCCAATATAGGCGGTGGTCCGTCGGAAGTCCGGGCACTCCGAGATCTTCGGACCTCGGTCCATTGGTCGACGCCCAACGTCGCTTAGAAGAATCGGCGCGCGTCTATCTCTTCGCTGCACAAACCAGCCACTACGCACCGCCGCTTGGACGAAACCACTCAAGGCCAGGGAGCAGTCTAGCGCAAAGCGTAAACGCTCCGATTCGACCCCCCACACACACACCACTTAGGGGGGAAGCACTCCGAGCGCGGCTCGACCGCCTCCCACACTATTCCTCCCGGCAGATCAGCTATTCAACGTTGAAGCCAGAGCTAGGTCGAGCGTTCTCAAAAACCGCTCGAGGGACGAGCACTCTTATTTTCTCAAAAATGCTCGCGAGCATCGAGTTGTTTTCCAAAGCGAAACCGCTTGCGAGTTTCGAACACTCCTAAAAGTACGAGAGCGGTTTATCACGAGCGCCCGGGAAAAGTGCTCGTGAGCGGAAAAAACGCTCGCGAGCGGCTCTTTATCCTTCAGTGCTTGAGGGCGGTTAAACGCGCTCACGAGCAAAAAAAAAATGCTCAGGAGCGGAAAAAACCGCTCGCGAGCGAAAAGACTGCGAGCGGGAAAAAACACTCATGAGCGGAAAAACCGCTCGTGGGCAGGGAAAAACGCTCGAGCGCCGAGCACTTTAAGTAAACGCTCGAGTATCGAGCACCAAGCGGTCGCTCCGAAAAGTACCCAGCTCTGACTTGAAGTCCCGACCCCAACTCGCCGTCCACTTCAGACTGAGCGGTTGGAAGAGGATTCCTCTTTCCTGGCGCGTCTAATTTCTTTTTGTGAGCACGCTCAGGAAGTCTACACCAAGAGGCGCCTCCACGTTGCCTTGTCTGAGCTTCAAGAGAACGGCTGCGGGTCCACTTCCCAGTCAAGGAGAGAAAATTCCCGAATACTGCACAAAGGCCACCACCACTGCCTCCAGCCAGCACCAAAGAACGACGCATTGCCCCCTACGCGAAGGCGCAGGAAATGTATAGGAAAAATCGTTCTCCCCGAAAAACCTCTCCTTGAACCTGAGGTCTTCCCGTAGATGGAGGAAATCAGTTCATCTTCGAGAGGCTCGACACCTTGGACGCGGTGCCATCACGCCCGAAGCAGCAAACACGGGCTGGCCCTACTCAACCCCGGTTCCGATGGGATTACCATCGTCCAGATTCGGAGATGTTCGGCCCAACACCTACAACTCTTGTTCAATGCCGATTCACGCCCACGGTAGGGGGTGCTGCACGCGTCAACGTCGACTAACTGGCCAAGGGTGCGCCAGACGCTTTTTGGCGGGAAGACCTGTCGACGCGACCCTAGTGCAGGGTTAGAGGATGTGGCGCACGCGTATTTTCCCCGAGGGGGTAAAGTGGGGGAGACTTCGTACGTGGCGTCCAGTTAAGAACATCGAACCTCCTCACCAAAGGTCTCCCTCACAATGACGGGTGGAGTTTTTGTCACACGTTTTACAGGGATGCCATATGACCCACCACGAGCGCGCGTCGCAAGGGATCTATGGTTGAGCCGCGAATCTACCATCCCGATCGGCCGGATCTGGTCTTACATCAGCTCATTTCCAATGTCTCCGATAGTTGCGTGGATTGCGACATCTGTGAATTTTTGTTGTCGTGTGTGGACCTTCGGGGGCACAGTAACGGGGAATCGTGGACTTTCCGTTGGTAAAAAATTGACGCGTGTCGTGAATATTGCGGTGGTTCCGTTTGCAAGCTCACTCGGCAATATTGGCAAGAAGAAAGACGCGAGTCAGTCGCCATAGCGTACAGGTCGTTCGCTAGTAAAAAAACGTTTAAGAAAACGCGATCTGCTTATGGAAATATCATTTTGTCCCCTACAGTTGATGAGGAAGACAAAGAAAATTATTTTTTTTAATTCGCCACTGCTTTTGCTGATTGGGGGTTGCATAATAGCAGAAAGTGAAAATATCCGGTTAGTTATTATCTTTGGCATATTCTGCTAAAAGGATAACTCAAATCGATAGGTCTTATTGGTTAATTCATTACCGCATTTTGGGGAGTAACTGTAGGACTTCTGATTCTTATCATGAAATCAAGATTTAAATACTTGCCTCCATTAAAGTCAAGAAGCAGTCCTCATTGGAGTACGTCTCTAAATAGAAATCGGCAAACGAAATTAAAATGGCCTTTCCAAACGTGACGGTCACCGTCCAGGACATTTCCTCGCTTTTCTTGTAGTAATACGGATACAATGGAGAAGCAATTTGTCCCGTGGCACCGGATAAGGTGACCCCGTGATCTGCAAGCATACTTTCTGGTTAGAGGAAACACGATGAGGGGAGTGCTACCAAGAGTGTATTCAGCCACGAACCCTTTGCCTGTCGCGCCGTCAACGTTATGTCCGCTTTTAAAGAAGATCCACAGGCTTCCAATGTTTTGGATACTAATATCACTCTCCTTACAGTAGGTTCCGTACAGTTTTCCGCGATTGTTCTCGGCGCGTATTTCCAAATAGTCTTCATAGCAGTTGTCCGATGGCACCAAGTCGAGCGATTTTATGATCAGCGAGAGTTTGTTGCCTGTGAATACAACCGCAGTAGATCTAATTTTATTGAACATTCAGGGAATGTCTGTCGCTAAATTGAGGTAGACTTTTGTAACAAAAAATTTGATTTTCTGTGCCTTACCGAAACTTGGTGTACTATAGACTCTGTTAAGACATTCAATGTAAGCAAATCCTGTCTAATATCGTACTTTTGTAGAAGTAATCATATAAGAGGTGGTACAGCTATATATTGCCGAAATGGATTGAATGTAACGCCACTTGACTTCGATATCACCAATTTTTGCGTTGAAATGCACATTGAATTATGTGGACTAGTTTGGCATTGTGATCACAAAACCCTTATTATTGTCTGTTACCGTCCCCTGTCCGGTGATTTTAATGTATTTATGGAAAAACTAACCGAATTATTTCAGATGATATATAAATGTAAATATAGATATATCCTTGTTGGAGATTTTAACGTGCACTTCGAATTAAATAGTAGTAATGTTAGACAACTAATAAATAGTCTTATGGGTTCTTATAACATGACTGCCGTTGTACAAAAGCCTACACGAGAAAACGCCATTTTGGACAATGTTTTTAGTAGTTTAGATGTCTCTTGTGATGATTTGCCTTTTATGTTTTCTGATCATAGATATGTTGTTATCACCAGTAAATCATCATCGCTCTGTACTCTGTAGCGATGTAATATACCATAAAGAGAAGAAACTCAGCTTCGATCTCTCGGTTTCATGCCATCCTTGACAATTGATATGTATTCAAGTTATTTATAATAATTGTATAAGGGTGCGCTGATGTTGTCATAGAGATAAGTTGTTGATTCTGTATTCTGTAATTTTGTAAATTGGTCAAAGTTTGTCAATCGTTAGAATAAAAGTTATTAGCAAGTCTACAACCTTTTGTCCAGCGAATACATAACAATTTGGCGACGAGTCGGGTCAAGAACTATTGATGTGATGTCAAAGCATTGATATTTTCGTCAGTCTACAGTCTACAGGAAACGTGCTTGTCAAAGTTAGTATTAGTACTTTACGTCCAGAGTAGTATTACAGATCATTTAAATCATGGCGTTAATTGGATCCATAGAACAATTTAAAGGTGGAAACGCACAGGAGTTTAAAGGGTACATGGATAGAATGGAACACTTGTTTACCGTCAATGTTGTTAACGAAGACAAGATGAAAGTTTCGCTTTTTATAACCCTTGCAGGTCCTGAAATCTACAACGTATTGAGAAACCTAGTTTCACCGAGGACTCCTAGTCAATTATCATTTGAAGAATTAAAAACGTCTATCGAAGGCTACTACAATCCGGCAGTTTCAGAGATTGGCGAAAGATTCATTTTCCACAAGTGTGTACAGAAAGCAGGTAAATTTGTTTCTGACTACATCGTGGAAATTAAGAAGCTTGCATCAACATGCAATTTTGGAGCATTTTTAGAAAGTGCATTAAGGGATCGTTTGGTTTGTGGTCTTTCTAATGATAATATCCAGAAAAGGCTTTTGTCTAAGCAGGATTTAAGTTTCACAGATGCCTGTAAGATAGCTATAGGGTGTGAATTAGCAGATCAGCAGGCGAAGACGATGAGTGATCAGCAATCAAATGAGTCAGTCAACAAATTAAGTAAAAGCCAGTCTCAGAAACAGGGTCCGTATATGTCAAACAAGTCAAGAAGTCAAAATAGTCAGTCGCAAGGAGGAAAGTTAAGTCAGTCGAATCAAAGCAGTCTGTCGAATAGTCGTAGTCAGTTCAGTCAGCAGTCAAGTAAAAGTTGTTACCGTTGTGCTCGTTGGCACAATCCTGACACATGTCCAGCCCGGAATTGGGATTGTTTTACATGCAGAACTAAAGGACATACTAGCAGGGTATGCAAGAAGTCAAAAATCAACGTGGTAGAAGACACAGCATCGGAGGTAGAAGAAGATGAATTTGAACTAAGTTATATTGGTGTGGTGAGTGATAACCAAAAAGCTTTTAAGATACCTATAAATGTTGAGGGAAATATAGTCAATTTTGAGATTGACACTGGAGCGTCTAGGTCAGTAGCACATATATCATTTTTTAAACAATTGTTAGCACATAAAAAGTTATTTAGTGTTAATTTTAGTTTGAAAGTAGTTACTGGTCAAAAAGTTAATATAGTAGGTGAAGTCGATGTACTTGTTAAGTCAAATAATGGTCAAGATTTATTAGCACTCGTAATTGTAGAGTCAGAATCTTATTTTACTCCTTTATTAGGCAGAAATTGGCTGAATGTACTGTTACCTGATTGGAGAAATCATTTCTTGGGTATTAAGTCAAAAATTAATCATTTATTTTGCTTGAACAGTGATGAAAAGTAAGAGTCAATTGATGTTGGTCGGTGTATAGCTGCGGTTAAAAACAAGTTTAATGTAGTTTTTAATGATTCTCCAGGATCAATTATAAAAGGTTTTCAAGCGAGTTTTCAACTTAAAGAAGGAAGTATTCCAGTTTTTCATCGTGCGTATGATGTACCAATTTTGTTAGAAAAAAAAGTTGAAAAAGAGTTATCAAAAATGGTCGAATCCGGTGTACTTGAAGAAGTTAAGTATAGTCAGTGGGCCAGTCCCATTGTTATTGTCCCTAAAAAGGAAAAAGGGGAAATAAGAATTTGCGTGGACTTTAAGAAAACTGTAAATCGTGTAATAAATTGTGATCATTGTAGGTTACCAACCCCTGAAGATATTTTTGCCTCGTTAGGGGGTAGCCGTTATTTTAGTATCATTGATCTAAAGGGAGCTTATCAACAGTTAGAAGTAGATCCACAGTCGAGTCCATTACTTACCATTAATACGCATAAAGGACTCTTTAGGTTTAAACGGTTAACATATGGTATTAGTTCTGCTCCGGCTATATTTTCTGCTGCCATGCCTACTATTTTGTCAGGTTTGCCATGCAGAAACTACCTAGATGATATTCTTGTGTTTGGTGATTCTTTACAGTCTTGTTATGAAAATGTTATAAAAGTTTTAAGTCGTTTACAAGAATATAATGTAAAAGCAAATGAAAAAAAATGCCAGTTATTTAAAAAGCAAGTCGATTTTTTAGGTCATCGTATTGATGAAGTTGGAATACATCCTTTACCGGATAAAGTAAAATGTATAAAGGAGTGTCCAGTACCTCAAAATGTTACACAACTTAAGGCATATTTAGGTTTGATCAATTATTATGGTAAATTTTGCCCTATGTTGTCCACAGTGTTAAAATGTCTTTATGAATTATGTAAAAAAGATGTCGATTTTAATTGGGATAAAAACTGTGATGTAGCTTTTGAACGGTCCAGCAAAGATAGTTGTTCGGGTACCTAGGGGTGGCGAAGAAGCCCGACGCCGAATTTAAGGTGCCTCCGCATGCTGCAATCAATCTAAATATACAAGGTGGCGTAATCACCTACGACGAACCTGTATCGAGCATGTGGTAACTCGCCGAAAAACTCATGTCGACATCCCTTGCCTCGATATGAATCGAGTTCCCCTCGCTCACTAAAGGTAGAGGAGTCTGATACTCGCAGTACTCCCCGAAAAGGGCCGATTCGTTACTCGGGCCGTTGTATATCCTCAGGGCGAGCTCGTTGTCGCTACAGTCGGACAAATGCACGTGCGTGATGATCAAGGTAACATGCTGAGCTAGTTAACACGCTTGTAACGCACAAACCTCAAAAAGGAGCTAAATACTTACACAGATCAGAGTTCGTTATGGTCCATGAGCAATTATTCAGGGAAACTGATGTTAGCACAGAATCCCGCGTACTTATGACGCCGCTTTCCGACGTGACAATATTCGCTCCGCAGCCCTAAAAGTTACAGGTCCATATCGGATTTCATTATTTACTACAAACCATGGTGTAGGTCGCCAGAAAACCCTTCGCCGTAAATTGTTGGCCACTTCGAAATTCAACGGTCATGTAGTTGTTAGTGGATCGGATCAGTTCGGGTTTGGTGGTGCCGCAGATCATCTTCAATAGTGGGGACTCCACCGATGGACCATCATACACCTGAAAAAGTTTACCATTTTTTTTTAATGAGGAGCTTGCCCTAGTTCCCAAGTCCTTTTTTTTTCGATCTTTTTATCGAGTTGAAGGTTAAATTTTGCTAGGGCTAGAAGAAAGAGTGGATATTTTTGTTCTGCGTAATTGAGTTTTATAGCGCGTTGACCTTTTCATGACTTTAGGAAATCGCGGGCTTCAGCTTGTAGGAAATAACAAGAAGTAAATTAATTAAAATTATTATTATTATTAATATAAAGGGGGGGAGGGGGGGCGAATCCAATTGGTTTTTGAAAAAAGTGGATTACTAATTACTAGTCCCCATTTTGAGAGATGCGTTAAGTACTCAGTGAAATAGGTAGGGATTAATCCGGAGAGAGTTTCGAGATTAGATTCCGTCTTGGACTAGGAGAGACTTCATCACGAGCACGAAGACACCGCGACGAAACGCTACTTAAACAGCTATTCGTGAATAGTATGTGCCCTTATACTTTGAGAGCTTGTGGCCTGTGGCACTTTTTTAAATGTATTGGTGTTTCTTTCTTTCTTAATCCCTCCCATTATCTTTCTACTACTTCCTCCCGTTCTCGATCTTCCTTCCTTCTTATAGTTCGTGTCTTCTCGAATTTAATTATATGATATCGTTACCTTAATATAATCACTTGTACAATTATCGCCCACGATATCCAGATCAGAGAATATCAATTCGATCAGATGATTCTGTTCGATTTCAATGGTCCAGTCGCACAATAACGCAGTGTCGTAATTTTGGGGATAATTCGGAGAGTGAAAGGAGCCAATTGGAGTCGTCATTTTTCCTCCGCATTCTGAAAACAACATTAACCGATTTGCGAATTAAGAGCGAAGGGCGTACTTGACTTGATCGCCGTGTAATTTGCGAAGAATCCTGTACCGTGGTAGGAGTAATCGCTCAAAAACCTCACGAACATCGAGTTTCCCGAACCGGTGACTGTAACGGGCTTAGTACCTTTTGCGCAAAATTTCGTCAGCGCTGGATAGGTGTCGTCTGGACCGTTTGTAACCTACAAACTGAGCGTGTGGAAGAGCTCCCAATTCGCAATTAAGCATACCAAGATGTAATCGAAGGTGCAGTCGGAAGACGCCTCAAAATCTACGACCTCAAAGGTGATTTCGACGCTAAAACCGTACTCCACCTGGATTGACCAGTCGCATTGCGTACCGCCGGGATAGGCTTTGGGATAGTTGGGCGTGGAGATCGTTCCTTGTGGCTTGGTCAGAATTCCTCCGCAACCTGAGAGGCGAGCGTTTCACTTGGATCAACTCCCAATTGGACTTACCTGAAAGTTGCCATTCCAGTCGGAAACCGGAACCGGCCGTCGTAGAATTGGTAACGTAATTGATCTCCGCAATGTGCGAGTTTAAATGGATCAATCCGGGGTCTTCATTTCCGCAGAACGTACCGTAATCGATCATGTCGGAACTTTCGGCGGCGTATTTGATCTGAAACCAAACCAGTGAGCGTACGCACTTCCCGTTTCGCTTCCTTTACTTTTACAAAGTCAGTAGTGCACCCTGGTGAGGCGGAGTCTAGGTTAAGGTGCGAAAAAGAGATGTTGATTCTGTTCCCCATTGCAACTTCAATTTTCCAAGTACAATCAACGGCGTATGGGGAAGGGTGCGGGAAGTTCGGGCTTTCTATCGTACCCCGAAATCCTTTTAGCACATTGTGGCATACTGAAATTAACTCTCTCAATTTAGTGGTGTGAGGTTGGCACTATCATCGAAAGCGATTAGTGTAGATCTTTGGTGCATGGAACAACAGTGACTGCACTCCGAGAACTCCAAATAATGTTCTGGATTCAGACATCTCTCTAAAATTCCGGAACTTTGGGATGTAGAGATTTCGGGAACTTTAGGAACTATTACTTTAGGAGCTATTGACGACAGATCAACAGAAACCACCGATTTCCCCAAAAAGTTAGAAATTTTCGACTATTGTAGCTAGGTGAGTTAACACATGTGTGTAGTTTCGCGTGCGACGACGCTTTAGTTTGTTAAGGAGGGAGGAAGAAAAGAAAAAGAAAGGAAAATGGTTTTAAATAGCAAGGAAGACGTTAATCGTTGCTTTTTTGGTGGTGGACGTTAATTGTTGATTTTTTTAGACGGAACGGTTTCAGCCAAGGCTGCTCTGCCACCCCCTCCCCCCTCTCCCACTATACATTTACAAATATCCATGTCCGATTTCGGATTCGAACCAGGGACCCTTAGCACTACAGTCCAGCTTTAACTCAACTGCGCGATACAGGCCGGAAACCACTTTTCGTAAACGCTGTGAGGTCACGCTATATCGCCATCTGTCGTAAAAACGAAAACTGACACTCAATATCGCGCATGCTCTTTTCTTTAACTGATACAGGGGTCACCAGCCGATCTCTAATTAGGTAATGAAAATGTCTGTCAATTATCATTTCCGTAGATTGTAAAACCAATGAATAAAGAATACCAGGAAGGAGGGTTGTATACAAGAGAGTGCGACGGAAGTCGGCCATTTGCAAAAGCCACTAATGACTCATTTTTGTTGTGGTTTTTGCAGTGACATAAAATAATGGTTAGTTGTTGTGCTTGTGGTTGCTCCAAAACGGAAAAAAATAAAAGTTTCGGAATTACATTTCATGTGTAAGTATTGATACCAATATTATTTTTATATAGTACATGTAAATTTACAAATTTTTAATCGGAATGTAGTTTGAGGTTAGTTAAACAAAAGTCATAGGCGGAGTAGACACATGGGGGTTTAGATTGTTTTCGTGTAAAATTCTTTATAATTGTATCCTTCTACAACTGTAAGGTAGGTACGCCACTGAAACAGGAAACTACTGTCCGCCATTTGCAAAAGCCATCGCGGTCGCACGTATATTGTTGATATTCTCCTTCCTGATATTCTTTATTCATTGTGTAAAACCTTTTTGCGACAGTGTAGACAGAAATCCCAGAAAAGCACGTGCTCACAAATCAATTAGGCCTTTCATCATTATGCACATAGCGTAGGGTGTCCGACAAAAAACAACACAAACAAGGTCCCTCATTAGTTACGTCACAAGGTTTTCCTTATTAACTACTTGGTCAAAATCAATCCTAATTTCGAAGTTATAATTCAATTAAATTGGCGAAACTGCAAAAATAATCTCTCAATCAAACGGAGTTAGGGTGCTGAGGGAAAAGAGTACTGCTCCAGTATTTGCCTCGTACATGTCTAGCTAGCATTGTTCGAAGCTACGTACGTTTGAGAAAAAAAAAACCCTGACAAACTCCCAGATAGAGTAGTCAGTAACGGGATTCGAACCCACAACCTCCTGAATAGCAGCCGGTAAACGCATCCACTGCACCATCACCTTGGTCTGAAACTATAGAGAGAGATTGTAGTATTTTTAATTTTTAACTTAAACCCTTTCCGATTTAAAAGGGGATATTTACGTCTGCATGGTATGGAGATTAATTTACCCCAAAGTTCTCTCTGTCTCTGTCGACCCATATTTTGGAAGCGGTTCGTCAGGCTTTAGCAGGTCACATGCACTAATTAGCAACACTAAGTAAATTGTTAGTGCTTTCAATAACTGTGTAGGACAACACTTAGGTTCTTTAAAATACCTGAGTTGTACTGTAAATGAAATCCTCTAGCCTTTTGGTTGCCGGACGCTCGAAACAAAATACCCACCACGTTGGTCGTCGATCTAATAAACGGGAGATTGCCAATATTGCAAAGTTTACCTAACGACTTTGCGCGAGTGTTGGGTCCGTCAAAAATCTAAAACAGGCGATATGAGCCGAAGTGAACGACGCGCGCGCCATCACCTGGACGTAGCTCGCATTCGGGCATTCTTCGAGCTGTAGGTCGGCGAAGACGGTTTGTACTTGGGAACCGGCGCTGACGTAGATCTTCCAAAAACAATCGGCACCGTCGCCGGACAGCTCGGGGTAGTTCGGTGACATTATGGTGCCCACGGGCGACGTCAGGGTTCCGCCACAACCTGTTGAGTGCAAGTGTCGAGGGGTTAATAAAGTTTCCACCTCTCCCTTCCAAATAAAGCCTTAGTGGAATGCGCCAGTTCAGCGCAAGTCAATAGAAAATTTGCGCTCCCCACCCCACCCCACACAAGATTGTTAACATAGCGCAAAATGCCTCAAGATACATACGCTAAAAGTCTTAGCTAAATCGGCTCATTGGAAGTGGAGGGGGTATTGGATCAAATCTTACCCGTTGTTGTGCCCTCCCATATAATTTGGAATCCCTTGCGTGAATCGGCAATGTCCGAATGAAAATGTAAGTACAAATTGTTGGTGTGAGAGGGAATCTGCCTTAGGATCTGATTGCCACAATACTTTCCGATTACGGGCGAGGAAGATGTCGCACCATTACTACGAAACTTCGTTTCAGACGGAAATCTCCCCGAGCGAATAACTCACCGAATCTCCAAGTAATCGTAACTGCAGCTCGTGGAACTCTCCATGTCGAAGTCGGTAACGTTCAGCAGAATTTGTTGTCCGGCAGCGACCGTGATAACCCACTCGCAGTCGCGACTGGCCGGGTAATCGTTGGGATAAGACGGTGACCTGATGACGCCGCTGCTTGCAAAATATCGACCACCACACGCTGCAAAATGGCAAGCTAAAAACTGCAGAACAAGTCGATTTCTTACCATTCTCTTGATCGACAAACACATATGATACCATAAAGCCCTCGAAGGTAATTGTCCCATCACTAACAAACTTGATGGTTAAGACATTGGACGAGCTGATCATATTTGGCGGCAATTTGTTTCCGCAGTATCTTCCAGCGAGCTCATTCACTGTGTGATTGTTGTACACCTCGACGTAATCAAACCCGCAGGTCGCACTCTCCTCGAGCGAAAACAGCAACCAAGACAACTGAACGACGTAGTTCTGAGGCGCCACTATGACCCACATGCAGGTCTGATCCGACGGGTATGAGATTGGATGTTCGGGCGACTTGATCGTTCCAGTGTGCTCCTTTACAATTCCTCCGCATCCTAGTAATCTTCCAAATGACTAAATCGCATTGAAGGGTTTTGGCGCTTACCAACGTCTATGGTGGAGTAGTTCGCCTGGAACCCTTTGGAACCGACGGATGAGTCGGATTCGAATTTTAACCAAAGGTAATTGTACGTTGACTGTACGTCAGGTGGCGTGTTAGCGCAGTACTCTCCGACTAGCGTGGAATTCTCGTTGTCACCATCACGAATCTGGAAAGCACCAAAACAAATTTTTCCGCTCGATTTTGTTTTTAAGCACAAATATTTCAGCGAACTTTACCAGCTAGATAAATTGATACTGAGAAGCGAGTTAATTGAATACGTCACGAGAAAGAATTATTGCGCAGTGAGACGAAATGGACACCATCGAGAAATACGCACGTTTTAGTAACATAAATATTAAAAAACCGTGTTTCAACCAAGGGCATACTAATTATGCGCGCCAGTATATTTTTCTACGTTACAACGAACCAGGAGTATCACCAAGGGATAATATTGAAATTAGTGGAATTTTTCTAGGGTTTAGTCTATCCACAGCAGGTGGGCCCCAATACTATAGCATTCTGGTAGCAACCACAGGGTCATTTACAGTGCACACCCAAATACTGTAGCGGCCTAAAAGTCAATGCACGGACTGGCTGAACTCTTTACCAGCTAGATAAATTGATACTGAGAAGCGAGTTAATTGAATACGTCACGAGAAAGAATTATTGCGCAGTGAGACGAAATGGACACCATCGACAAATACGCACGTTTTAGTATCATAATTTTAAAACACCGTATGTCGACGAAGGACATACTAATTAAGCGCGCCAGTACATTTTTCTACGTTACAACGAACCAGGAGTATCAGCAAGGGATAATATTGAAATTAGTTGAATTTTTCAAGGGTTATAGTCTATCCACAGCAGGTGGGCCCCAATACTATAGCATTCTGGTAGCAACCACGGGGTCATTTCCAGTGCACACCCAAATACTGTAGCGGCCTAAAAGTCAATGCACGGGCTGGATGAACTCTTTACCAGTTAGATAAATTGATACTGAGAAGCGAGTTAATTGAATACGTCACGAGAAAGAATTATTGCGCACACCATCGAGAAATACGCACGTTTTAGTAACATAAATTTAAAAAAAACCGTGTTTCAACCAAGGACATACTAATTATGCGCGCCAGTATATTTTTCTACGTTACAACGAACCAGGAGTATCACCAAGGGATAATATTGAAATTAGTGGAATTTTTCTAGGGTTTAGTCTATCCACAGCAGGTGGGCCCCAATACTATAGCATTCTGGTAGCAACCACAGGGTCATTTACAGTGCACACCCAAATACTGTAGCGGCCTAAAAGTCAATGCACGGGCTGGCTGAACTCTTTACCAGCTAGATAAATTGATACTGAGAAGCGAGTTAATTGAATACGTCACGAGAAAGAATTATAGCGCAGCGAGACGAAATGGACACCATCGACAAATACGCACGTTTTAGTAACATAAATGTTTAAAAACCGTGTTTCGACCAAGGACATACTAATTAAGCGCGCCAGTACATTTTTCTACGTTACAACGAACCAGGAGTATCAGCAAGGGATAATATTGAAATTAGTGAAATTTTTCAAGGGTTTAGTCTATCCACAGCAGGTGGGCCCCAATACTATACCATTCTGGTAGCAACCACGGGGTCATTTCAAGCACACACCAAATACTGCAGCGGCGGCCTAAAAGTCAATGCACGGGCTGGATGAACTCTTTACCAGTAGATAAATTGATACTGAGAAGCGAGTTAATTGAATACGTACACGAGAAAGAATTATTGCGCACGACCATCGAGAAATACGCACGTTTTAGTAACATAAATTTAAAAAAAACCGTGTTTCAACCAAGGACATACTAATTATGCGCGCCAGTATATTTTTCTACGTTACAACGAACCAGGAGTATCACCAAGGGATAATATTGAAATTAGTGGAATTTTTCTAGGGTTTAGTCTATCCACAGCAGGTGGGCCCCAATACTATAGCATTCTGGTAGCAACCACAGGGTCATTTACAGTGCACACCCAAATACTGTAGCGGCCTAAAAGTCAATGCACGGGCTGGCTGAACTCTTTACCAGCTAGATAAATTGATACTGAGAAGCGAGTTAATTGAATACGTCACGAGAAAGAATTATTGCGCAGTGAGACGAAATGGACACCATCGACAAATACGCACGTTTTAGTAACATAAATTTTAAAAAACCGTGTTTCGACCAAGGACATACTAATTAAGCGCGCCAGTACATTTTTCTACGTTACAACGAACCAGGAGTATCAGCAAGGGATAATATTGAAATTAGTTGAATTTTTCAAGGGTTTAGTCTATCCACAGCAGGTGGGCCCCAATACTATAGCATTCTGGTAGCAACCACGGGTCATTTCCAGTGCACACCCAAATACTGTAGCGGCCTAAAAGTCAATGCACGGGCTGGCTGAACTCTTTACCAGCTAGATAAATTGATACTGAGAAGCGAGTTAATTGAATACGTCACGAGAAAGAATTATTGCGCAGTGAGACGAAATGGACACCATCGACAAATACGCACGTTTTAGTATCATAATTTTAAAAACCGTATGTCGACGAAGGACATACTAATTAAGCGCGCCAGTACATTTTTCTACGTTACAACGAACCAGGAGTATCAGCAAGGGATAATATTGAAATTAGTTGAATTTTTCAAGGGTTATAGTCTATCCACAGCAGGTGGGCCCCAATACTATAGCATTCTGGTAGCAACCACGGGGTCATTTCCAGTGCACACCCAAATACTGTAGCGGCCTAAAAGTCAATGCACGGGCTGGATGAACTCTTTACCAGTTAGATAAATTGATACTGAGAAGCGAGTTAATTGAATACGTCACGAGAAAGAATTATTGCGCACACCATCGAGAAATACGCACGTTTTAGTAACATAAATTTAAAAAAAACCGTGTTTCAACCAAGGACATACTAATTATGCGCGCCAGTATATTTTTCTACGTTACAACGAACCAGGAGTATCACCAAGGGATAATATTGAAATTAGTGGAATTTTTCTAGGGTTTAGTCTATCCACAGCAGGTGGGCCCCAATACTATAGCATTCTGGTAGCAACCACAGGGTCATTTACAGTGCACACCCAAATACTGTAGCGGCCTAAAAGTCAATGCACGGGCTGGCTGAACTCTTTACCAGCTAGATAAATTGATACTGAGAAGCGAGTTAATTGAATACGTCACGAGAAAGAATTATAGCGCAGCGAGACGAAATGGACACCATCGACAAATACGCACGTTTTAGTAACATAAATGTTTAAAAACCGTGTTTCGACCAAGGACATACTAATTAAGCGCGCCAGTACATTTTTCTACGTTACAACGAACCAGGAGTATCAGCAAGGGATAATATTGAAATTAGTGGAATTTTTCAAGGGTTTAGTCTATCCACAGCAAGTGGGCCCCGATACTATAGCATTCTGGTAGCAACCACGGGGTCATTTCCAGTGCACACCCAAATACTGTAGCAGCCTAAAAGTCAATGCACGGGCTGGCTGAACTTTTTACCAGCTAGATAAATTGATACTGAGAAGAGAGTTAATTGAATACGTCACGAGAAAGAACGAACCAGGAGTATCAGCAAGGGATACCTAATATTGAAATTAGTGGAATTTTTCAAGGGTTTAGTCTATCCACAGCAGGTGGGCCCCAATACTATAGCATTCTGGTAGCAACCATGGGGTCATTTCCAGTGCACACTGTAGCGGCCTAAAACTCAACTTTGCAAATCAATGAACGGGCTGGCTGAACTCAGAGTTTCCCCATTTCCAACCCTCTAATCCCCAAAATAACAGTGACAGTGATATACAGATTAAACGTTTTGCTCTCATACGCATTTGACGTTATCAGATCACATACCTCCAAGGCATCAAAACAACCCGCTTGCGCTATCTCGATATCGAAGTCCAAAAACGTCAAAAGAATGGACTTTCCTGTAGGTTGTACGATTTCGTAAATGCACACCAGGTCCTCGCCATATTTGTTGGGATATCCTGGAGATTCGATAACTCCCGTCGGGTCCGTGTAAATTCCTCCGCACACTAGAGGACATTGTCATTTCTCGCGAATTACTCGGACAATTAGCTCACCGATTTCGTATTTCAGTCGAAATCCCAGCTCGGTGACGTCCGCATTACCCCAGTCCGACGTGAAGATTATAAACAGTTGGTTACCCGTCGACGTGTATGGCGGGGGTAGTTTATGGCCGCAATACCTGTTCACGAGAGGCGCGCTGGAGCTACCTCCGTTATGTACCTGGTACTCTAAATTATGTTTAATCCCTCATAGCGTTTCTGCTCACCGTAACAGAGTCGTAACTGCAACTGCTGTCGTCCTCCAAATCGAACAGCAAAAATGTGATCTTGATCCTGGAATCTTCGGGCACCTGAATCTTGTACTCGCAGATGAGGTCCGGAGGATAACGACCGTCTTCCACCGGAGAACCCAGCTCGCCGGTAATAGCCGTGAAGACACCTCCACAACCGGGTAAGCCTGAAAGCACACCGTAAGGCAATGCATCATCGCGGTGTAAGACACCTACTTTCCATGGTCGAGTACGAAATCTGAAAACCGGGGTAATTGTTGATCGCGTCCGAGTGGAAGTGTATCACCACCTCGGGACCTGCCGAGTATAGAGGTTCGGGATGGGAGGTGTTGCAGTATTTTGCCAGGACCCTATCCGATGTGCCGTAACCTTCGGAGAACTGCGCAGACCACTGTTAGTGTAGGGGGCTGAATGGTAAGTACTTACTTGTAGGTAATCTCCGGAACAGTCGAGGCTGTTTCCGATCATCAAGGTAAAGAAGTGGAATTGAATACGTTTACCCAAGGCTGCGCTCAGCTTCCAGATGCAGTCACTGAAATTTGCAGAGTAGGTAAGCGTTTTTTACTCGGCGTGGAGGTGATTTACCGATTTAGTGGGTATTTTCCGGGGTAGCCGGGTGAGTGGAGCGTTCCATGTGATGTCACAGATACCTCCCCGCCGCACACTAAAATTAAAGTGTTGCTATAGTGAAAGGGCAACCGAGCATATTTGAGTTTATGCTGGGGGTGGTACAGTACAAATTGCTTAAAAATCATTGCAGACTTTGATTATTAACTGGGACAGTCCTAAAGATGTTTCTTTTAGACGCCAAGATGGCGACCATTTACCGGATGCGTCACTGGCAATTTAATGGCATGAGAAAGTTATTAGCGCCAGTCTGGCGGGCGATAAGGGAAAGTTATTGGGTAATACGTGCCATTTTCTGATGATTTGAATCCACTCGTAATCAGGTCGTGCGACCGCCCAGTGTGCAGTTTTCAACGGCCGAGGCAATGGTTTCCCTAAGCATATCATTGGTCGGAAGGGATCATTTTCAGCTTGGGAGTAAAAAATTAAATGAAATTAATAGATACCAATGTTCGATTGGCGTAGTTTCAAAAAACTAAGGTGTTGGGAATTAGTCCGCGAGAGAATACGCGCCAAATCACGATAGAGATCGCGTTGAAGACAATTCCGTTCGGGGAGAGCCAGGGAAATTACGCGTGAAGGCGCGAGAGAACAAGCTGGAAGCCACTATAGCATCCGCGTTGTACAGTCAACCGTAAGTCGGAGTCGGAATCGTTGATGAAAACAAAATTCAGTTAAGCCGCGTTGAAAATCAAGAAAAAAAAATTGATCTTAAGCCAAGGTTTAAACCGGGGGTAGTTTTCGGATTGTCGCGTAATCAAAATTTTGTCGATACCTGGATCTGTTGAATTCCAGCTGAGTTCGAAACTGGTCCCCGTAAAAGACGAATCGATCCTCAACCACAGGTAAACCTGATGATGAGTTGACATAATGACACCACCATTCGGAAGCGCTGTCCCACAGAATCGCCCGAGGGACTGTGCTATTGTGTTACGTCCGTCGTGTATCTGCAACCAATCGTGAACGCAAGTCCCCGAGTTTTGCAAGTTAAACTTGGTGAACGTTATGTTAAGCACTTTTGTTCTGTTCGTCTGAATCACCCAGGCGCAATTCACTTTGGGATCGGACACGTGACTGGCAGTGGCCGGGTATTTGATGTTTCCCGATGGGCTTCTCAGTAATCCTCCGCATGCTAGCGTTAAATCAAAATTAGTGCAAAAGGTGCGCTCTATGTATCATCATTACCTTGCCTCTCAGACTCGCAGAAGTTTCCGGTGTACGAAGACGTACATATGCACTTAAATGAAATGTTCAATAGCGAACGACAGGTGCCGCCATTGCGACAAGGATTCGACTGGCACGCGTCCTTTTGAATGTCACAATTTCGACCTGTAAATCTGCGATGACACTGGCATATGTACGAGTTCGAACTGTTGTCCACAACGCAGGTACCGTGGACACAAGGGTTACTCTCGCATGGGTTGCCGCCTTGCGAGCTGTGAATACAACCATTGGGCCCTATACCTGATCCGGAATAACCCATAGGGCAGATGCATTCTACGTAAGTGGGACTGATACCTGCAATAAGTAAGCTAACCCCTATATTCTAAAATATGTGGCAACTTACTAGGGTTATCCCTGCACTGAGCGAGATGGTTGCATCCGCCATTGTTGACGCCGCAGATTCCACGAAACGAGCAGGATTTACCGTCACCCATGTAACCCGGGGGGCAACTACCACACATGCTGGACCCCTAGAAATCCAAGATGATCAGTTACATGCACCGAACGAGCGCAGCTTACCGGTGTGTTGATGCATTTGACTAGGGGGTTAACACTGCAACCGCCGTTGAAGATTGCGCACTCGTCAATGTCGGTGCAGTAATGTCCATTTCCCACGTAACCTGGAAATAAGACACATTGATGTCCCAAAAACACAGTATCCCATTACAAAATGCAAAATTACAGTAGGGAGAAACAACCGTACGCGGTCAAGGATAAACTAATTAAGCGCGCCAGTATAATTCCTTACCATAAAAAGCTACTGTTAAAAAGCCAGTTGTTTGCCGCGCGTGAACCCGGAAAGGGCCCATTATGATTAATTTGTAGAAACTGTGTATAGAAAATTGTGCCATATATTAGGCTCGATATTAAGTTCAAATTAATTTTAAAAACCGTGGCCACGAAATTGAGTTAGTTACCTTCCGGGCAATTTCCGCAAGTAAACGACCCAGGCGTATTTACGCAAGGCACAAGGGGGTTGGTAGAACAATACGGCATCTTCGACTTGCACTCGTCCACGTCAGTGTTGCAAGCGGGACTGACGCCATTTGTTGTCCACCCCTAACAAAAGTAAATTAGACAGCTGGTATTGCTTTCGGGAGTAGTACCTGATCGCATAGGCACTTGTAGCCGAGGCCAGTATTTTGAGGAATGCAAGTACCATGACCGCATAGTTCGGCGATTGAACCTTCCGTGCAACTGGCCGACTGTCGGGTGCAGTGTATTCCAAACCACCCTTTACTGCATACACATCTGTAAGAAATCGTTACATGAGCCTATGCTCTGAGAGGTGACGCTTACTCATATGATCCGGGTTTGTTCACGCACGTTGCGCCGTTTTGGCATCCCAAATCTGTTCCGGCAAATTTCGCGCATTCATTCACGTCCTTTTCGCAAGTGGTTCCCTGGGGAAAAAACACAATGTCGAAAAGACACCAGTGCGAACGTCTTACCTCCCATTCTTCAGGGCAATGGCAAAGAAATCCGTTAAATAAATCCTGGCAAACGCCCCCGTTTCCGCATGGAGAACTTGCGCACTCGTTCTTGCTCAGTAAACGTATGAGACGACCGACTTTCCGTTGTAAGGTACGCAGTCGTCGGTTAATCATTGGTAAACTTCCTCTTCCCTTTAATTAAATGTTACTAATACACTATTATCTGTTCACCCAACAGATGCAGTTAAGCTCCTCCCAAAAAATTCCCGGTAAATTTAAATGAACATTTTTAATTGGTCAAATTTTCAAAACCTGTAACACACAACTATTTTCTTCCAATTGTACCTACTTGCCGTATCTGAATTGACATCCTTAACGTCAAACTTGTCATTGCGTTTTGAATTTGCCTTGCCTCAATTTGCTATCAATTTCATTTATACGAACAAAATAGTCTTTTTTGCTTCTTATGCAAACATTTTGATCAAGAATATTTGTTTTCGGTCAGTAAACATGTAATGTCAATATTCAAAACATGACACTTTGTAACTTAGTCATGCAATGTGACATGCGCTTTCAAATTTCCCGGTTTTTATAATTTTGTGGTTGTGAAACGGGCCTGTTATTGCATTGCCCAATTTTTTTTGGGAGTGGCTTAACTGCATCTGTTGGGTGAAGAGATTATAGTTTGCAATTAGTCACATACCACAGACGTGCCGTTAGTCGAATTTCTAACTCCTGCCGTTCCCATTTCGAGGGCCTGCAATCTTCGTAAGATACCGTGACGCCCCTCGATGACGCGATTAAATTTCTTCATTTGAAAGAACGTGTCGTAATATTCCGTATTAATACGATGCAGCGTATCCGAGGCGTTCTTCGCCTACAAAACTCAAAGTTTGGGGGATGAAACTGAAAAATATATTTACAATGACGGCGGCGTTGGTCAGATCTCCCTCGTTCAAGAAAATCCTCCCTTCCCCCTTGGTAACGAAACGGATATTCTTATTTTCGCCGCAGTTGAATACCAAGTTGCCATCTTGGGAAATGATCCTCGGTCTTAAAGGATTTTAATAATATCGCTGAAAAGTTACATTTGCACTTACTGTGAACCGAAACCGGAAACCCCGCCGATTATAAAGTATGGAAAAATTAGAAGAGCGAAAGTCACCATTTCGAGTGCAATCGCTACAAACTCATTTTATGGATTGGACCGCATGCAAAATTACCGAATAACCAGAAGGCCAACAGATTAGATTAGGTTGAAATTGGAGGAGTTTAGGGGGCGTTTTCTGTAGATATATGATTACAATTTGTTACGTATTCCGAAAACTCATTTTGTAATTTGCTATTGCTAGTCTTGTCATATGTCCAAATAAACTCCTAAAGAGCATCTAAAAAAGCGGCAGAGCACCTCGGGGTCTTTGGATTTGACCCAGGTTTACTACCTACATGTGGCGTATATAGGTCAACTGTGCAAAGTTTGAATCAAATCGGTCCAAGCGTTCGACAGTTATCGTGTTCACGGACGGACAGACGGACACCATCGACTCCCCTATAAAGCTTGCGTCGCTTTGCTCTGCCGCTTAATGAACCAGGACAAGATTTCTCTCTTAAATATTCGCTTATCTGCCCAGGTATCGAAATAAACCAACAATATGCACGCGTCTATGTGGGCACCGAATTAATCGTCGCGTCGCGACGCCTTAAAAATCCTGAAAACTCTCTCATACAGCGAGATCCAATCGAGATTGACCAATCATTTTGATACCACTCCCAACAAATATCTACGCAGAAAGCATATAAAATTCCGCGACATTCACCAGATGACAGAAGAATCGATCGCTAACTCCACCCTGCGGTTGAGACAAGGACCAACATAGTGCGAGTACGTTTAGACCGCATGTTGGTCGAACAGTTGGTGTACGTTTCCTTTCAAAAGGGGCCTGATTCAGGATTCTAATCGCGGGCGATCAAAAATTCGTAACGACATTGGTAAAGATAAGCGGCAAACGACAAAGGCAATTATCAACACGTTACCTGCAAGTTGTATTTGCCATAAAACATTTGCGTAGCCATTCTTCCATCTTAGATACAATATAATAGATCAGTTCCAGCTAGTCGACTGTTTGCATTCGTCAATTTGAAAGCGAGTATTTACATATCATCCAGAACATGGTACTTCTTTACTGCGATAACCTCAATATAAACAAAAATATATCAAGAAACTACAATGTGAAAAATCAGACGTAATTCCAAATAATGCGACCTTACGTACTTACCCCATTAATAAATGCGTTTCAGATTACGAGATAGATAAAACAAAGATACGTAATTAAATGCAATAACCGTGTTAACAAAGAGGAATTCTATGAAAATAACATTACCTAAAGAGGATTACAGCCCTGTCCCATTCGTGTGAAGACGCTTAGATAATTAGTTTAAATAACGAATACTGCACGGAAAATGAATGAAATTAGAAAAGATATTTAAGTACATAAAAACATACATTTAGTCGTCAAAAACAGTGTACCATTGGATGCCTAAAAGAATTAGCCTATAGTAACATAACAACTTACAATATCACACACTTGATTTTGACATTAGTAAATTTAGTGTCGAAATGCACATAGAGTTGTGTGGGCTAGTTTGGCTAACAAACCCCAAAACTGTTATTATTGTATGTTATCGACCACCTTCTGGTGATTTTGATTTGTTTATGAAGAATTTATGTGCACTATTTGTTATGATATACAAATGTAATTATAGATACATACTTGCTGGGGATTTTAATGTGCATTTTGAAACGGACACAAAATTTGCTAAGCAATTAAATAGTCTTATGGAATCTTATAATATGACTGCGGTAGTAAAAATTCCCACTCGAGAGAATGCAATTTTAGACAATATTTTTCTACACAAATCTACTGATGTAACCTGCGATGTATTGCCTTTCTTGTTCTCTGATCATAAATACGTTGTACTTAATAGTAATTTGCCACTACCCTCTGACAGTAATCTTACGTTTACCAAGGGTAGAAAATTTACGCCAGCTTCTATCTCTCGTTTTCATGAGTTATTGGAGAATCAGAACTGGTGAACTTTAAATTCTGCTACGACATTCGATGATGCGTTTACTGTATTTTACAATACTTTTGTCTCTCATTTCAAATCATCGTTCCCAGAGACCAAAATTTTAAAACGTAATACCTCATATTTGAAAAAAGGATGGGTAAACAACACCGTTAAAAAGCTTAGCCAAGATCTTAAAAACTTCTACCACCTCCAAAAAATGTATCCCGCGCTTAAAAAACTTTATTTAACACACAAATGTAAATACCGGCAATACATTATGAATTGTAAGAAATCGTTTTATGGTAACTTAATCAAATCCTCCGACAATAAAAATAAAACAGTATGGAGCCTTATAGCTATACTTAACAATAAAGAAAAGTCGCACAAAAATATCACTCTTAAAAATTCAGAAACAACCATTGACGATCCTCAAACAATTGCAAATAGTTTTAATGAGAATTTTATTAATGGCCCTCAAAATATTCAACGTTCTATAAAAAGAAACATTTATTCGACTAGCAACTTTGAGTCTAATATGACTATTCGCGAAAGTATGTGTGCACTGCCTTTTAGTGAAACGGAATTATTAAATTGTTTAAAAAAAAGCATAAAAATAAACATTCCTCGGGCCCCGATGATATACCTAATTCTTTGCTTAGGTCAAGTTTGCATATTATAATAAAACCTGTCACACATCTAGTCAATATGTCTTTTTCAAAGGGTGTCTTCCCGAAAGAACTTAAGCTGTCAACTGTACATCCCGTTCACAAAAAAGGTTGCTCTCGAGATTGCTCGAATTAGAGACCAATTTCTGTTAGCTCGGCGCTGTCAAAAGTTTTTGAATACGCCATGTTAGAGAGGCTAAATAATCACCTTGTTAAATATAACATTGTAAGTAATAAACAACACGGGTTCTGCAATGGGAAATCGACAATTACTGCCATTAACTCCTTTGTTAACGACATCATTTCACTTCTTGATAAAAAAGAGAATGTCCTTGCTATATTTTGTGACCTCAGCAGGGCTTTTGATACTGTTGATCACTTGTTACTGTTGGAAAAATTAAATACTTACGGTATCAGAGGCGTTGTTGCCAATTGGTTTTCATCATATCTCTCTGGAAGGTGTCAACAAGTAGAAATTAAATTTAAAACCTGTTCCACTATTGCGAAATTTTTATCCACAGCTTTGCCTGTTAATATGGGGGTTCCACAAGGATCTGTTTTAGGACCTATTTTATTTTTATTATTTATTAATGATATTGTCATGTTCTTAAATTGTTTGGTTTTATATGCGGATGATACGACGGCATTAATATCCGGAAAGAAGCAAGAAAATATATATCCAAAAGCTGTTGAGATTCTAAATAAGCTAAATAATTGGTTTAATTTTAACACATCTTAAATCATGATAAAACATTTTTCCTACCGTTTACAACTTTTGGAAATAACCATTTGTCTGACTCAAGCAACAAACACATTAATATTCTAGGCACTGGGAAGTTTCTGGGGATCTATTTAGATCAAAACTTAAATTGGAAATGTCACTGCGAAAATCTTATTAAAAGACTAAAAACTTATTGCTACCAGATACGGAATCTTAAAGAATTAATGGATGTGAACCATACTTTAAATTATTACTATGCTCAAATTCAATCCAGATTGTCATATGGAATAATTGTTTGGGGCTCGTCAACCGCGGCAAAAAATGTTTTTCTGGTACAAAAACGAATAGTCCGGTGTATTGCGGGTAGTAAGAAATTTGATTCGTGTCGCCCGATATTTAAAAAATTGAATATTCTTACACTTTCATCACTCTACATACTTGAATTGTTAACTTTTATTTTCCATAATCAGCAACATTTCTTACGCCATAGCAGTTTTCATAATTATAACACGCGCAATAAACAACAATTTATCATCCCTTTAACAAGACGTACTTAAACTTGCCCCCCATAATTCTCCCACGTCAATGGGCATTAAATTATTTAATGCTCTTCCAAGTACACTTAGAAGTCAGGGAACAATAAAGTGCTTTAAAACTTCTTTAAAAAAATTTCTTCTAGTCAATGCACCATATACAATTGATGAATTTCTAAATTCTATTGATAAAAATTGCGGATCTCTAGTGTAATTTATATTGCATTCTTTCTTTTTTGTCCATTGTATTGTGTATGACCAACATTTTTTAAATTGTATTTAATTGTATTTTTTTGTGTCTGACGTATCCTATACAATTCAAAATTTGTCTTGGGAATTAATATATATTATTATTATATAAAACAAGCTGTAAATCAGCATATGCATGATTAAAGCGCATTTTTGGTAATGCAGGTCAGTATTTTATTAGCGAAGTTTAAAATTATCGACCTCACAAGTAATTTTGGCTGCGTTAAATAATTAATTTTATTTAATTTCAATTGACGGTAGGTACGTCTTCATTTTGTAAAACAAATCAGAAAGTAAATAATGTTTTTATACTGGTAGCGCTATCTAACGGTAAAATTATAGCACCTCCGAAACCCATATCGAAATTATTTTCTTCAATTATCGATCTCACAAGTAATCTAACTTAAAATAAACTAGTGCCTGCACATCTACACTATAGCAGAAACCTTTTAGTGAAATTTTGAATTCTCTAGCTATTGTAGTTGTGGAGATCTCACGCGGACAGCCGGCCTGCCAGCCATAACGAATATAATAGCGTATTTTTTTTCAAAAATGCGCTAA